AGTATAGTCATTACTATATATCTCGTTAACAATTACTTATGGATTACCTTTCCTATTGATGTAGATGCTTTGATCTAAAATTGTGGCAATAACATATGAGATAATAGGATAACAGATCGGTACGAATAACACGGCGTAATTTAATAGCATAACTTTACCTGAAACCTTAGAACAATGTCTCCGGGGACGTCATAAAATGGTTGGCATAATTGATCTCGGGGTCCATCTAATAGCATCGGCGACATATGGGCGCATATGTCGCTTATTGTGGAACCCAAATAAATAGACGGATAGTTTGCAAATATTTTACTAATTTCATATGTTCACGATTTGAATTTTCTAAAAATAATCAATTAATTATAAATAGTCATATATTTTATTTAATATATTATCAAACTAATGAGGCGCATGGCATCGTGCCTTAAGGCAAATTGCCGGAACTTTCCGTACCAAAAATTTATTTTTGTTTAAAAAAGATTAATATCTTTGAAAAAATATTACCTTAAAAAATTAGATTTATGAGAAACTATAAATTTTTGAAAAAAATTTACTTTTTTAGAAAAAAGACTTTTTGAAAAAAATGTTTTCTTCATTTTGAAATATTTTGGAAATTTTGAACTTTTTTTCAAAGCAATCGTACTGCTTTAACTGTATAGAGACGGAGTTAATTATTTAACTATTTACCTGGCTCAGTGTATAGAGCTTTGAGCTTTAATCATAAGATTTTATGTTTGATACTCACCTCGAACAATCTGATGTCAAGCAGTAGTAACATCGGTTTTCAATTGGAAATAGAAATACCAATACGATTTCAATTTAAAGTAGCCTTTTCCCGGAATTGCTACACCAAATAAAATACCATCACTATTTGATAACTTCTAATAATTGAAATAAATCAAATTTAGATGTGCCATTCATTGGGAGGCTACTAAAAAGCCATATATGGTTCCAACATTTTCTAGGAACTTTAATTTAAAATGATACAATGCCGAATAATAAAAAATATCGCCGAAATAAAAAATACAAGCAAACAGTTTACTTTTATATATTTTTATGTTTATAATAGGTAGTAAACTCGAAATACATTTATTTATTATAACTAATTGATTTCTTGAAGATCTATAAAACTATCAGAAAACAATATAAAACAGCAAGAAGAAATCTACTTCTAAAAATTCTTCGCTAGTAATATTGAAGTTTATGCTATTATTTTATTAGATCACATTTCCATTTTTTTTCATATTTTATTTTTCAAAAGTTTATTCAATTATCGCGAAAGTGGATTAGCAAAATACCTATTGTGTCTAAAAGAGGATTTGGTAAGTTGAGATAAAAATTTATGATTTTTTTTAAAGAACTTAAGTAATATGATGCACGTATTCGCTGATAGATATGATAGAAATGATAGAAATTTGCTGATAGAATGATAGAAAATACTATTGGTGGAGATTCTTTGATTAATTTATAATTTAATAGACTTCAAGGTAGAATTATCCCGTCATCATAAGAAAGTGAATAAAACAACTGTTATGATACTTATAATAAATCTTGACCAATTATTTATTGTTCAGAAAATTTACCACACAGCATATTGTAGTTATGCTAATTATTCGCTAATATAAACTGTTTCTCCTGTCTGAGGAAAATGTCTTAAGATAGTATCGTCAAAAGTTGGGCCATTTAATCAAGATAGGAAAATGGTAAAATGCTTGATAATTTTAAGATTGAAAAATTTCGAATAGAAAAATATAAACCTAAATATAACACGATAACGGCAAACGCATTGCGCTCACAATCAGTCCAAATTTTTTCTAACATTTTTGAAGAAAAACTTCTTTAGGCGCGACTAGGGTGTAAATCTATACAAATGCAACGGAAGTGCTTTACGGCCGAGTCGAATGCCAATGCAAAGATTCGTCATTCGCTTTCGATGATATCATTTCTATACGGGTCGATTGTGATTAGGCGTCGTGTATGTGAATAGAGATCTATCGTTGTATGCGTACCGATATCAACAAGGCAATCGGCATAGATAAATAAACATTTTAAAGTTGCATCGTAGTACAAATCTTGATTTAATGAAAAATGCTTAAAAGAGAAGAATATTTTAACTTGTTCCTTGAAAATAATAAAACAAATTAAACATTTGTTCGTGAACTAAGCGTAAGCTCATTGATTAGAAATTATTTCTATATTATTAGTAGTTTCTATAAATCTTTGAAGTTATTAAAACGGAAAATATTTTCGAGGCAAGACAATTACAGCTGTTCAAAGAATGAGATTATATCGCCAGCGATAAAGTAAAAATACAAGCAGTCAATGAATGTATGTAAATTTTAATTACATGAAGTTCTTCAAACACACTTTAATGATGAGTGAAGTTGCGAAAACAATATTTATTTAGGCGTTGTTTAACACAATCCACTGTGTGAACGAATATTATAGAATTTATTAATCAGCAATTACTTTGTTTCTCTAATGAAGGTTCATTTTTAAATGCTAATTACAATGACAAACCGATCATGTCATATTAGAAGTATAATTTTAATTACATTATTGTTCTTAAATATTATACATATTATTAATGCAATTATAAATATATAATTTATAATTTATCGTTTTTTAAATGTATATAATGGTTGACGCTAATAAATGTGTGCATCAAGAGTGTTACCATATTACTAATAAACATTATTCAAAATTGTTATATGATGTATTTATTTTTACTTAAATGATTTATTTCAATCGCGTGTGAACCTTACGCGCACTCTTTTTTTAGTTAAAGTTTTAGTCAAATTGACCGATTTTGTAATTTTTAAATTCATACGTGAACACCCTGCAGGTATATTTACTTCAGATATTATATATTTTGTTTTTAGGTTATTTAATTGTTGAGTAAATCGTTTACCGTCGTTTTGTCCATAACCCGTTCTATCGGTTCTCGGTGGCCGTGCCGTGCGTCAATGCGACTCGCCGTCTCGCCGCGGTATCGGGAAGCAATATATTCGCGAAATGTGTTCGGGTTCATCGCAAAAACGTTTTATTGCGAATTCTGATTGCATCCCAACTATGCGAAGGGGTGCGTGCTAGCCGTAATTTGCATACTAATTCATGCAAGCAATATCCCCTATAAAGTCGCTATACGAGAAGTATGAGCTATATGAGCATGGCAATATCGCGTCGCAGGATCAAGTTGAATGTGCGCGCCTCGTGTAGGTATTGTGAGATGTGCAATTTGAACAAAATTTAAAATACACAAACTTTATAATTAAATTCTAATATAATGAAACTCGCAAACATAATATTAATATCATACAAATTATTATTATTAACTTCCCGTAGGGCAAGTTATAGTAATCGCAAAAAAATCGAAAATGAAATTTTTTATACATCTTTACGTTTCAGAGGTTTCTGAATATTTTGGCATAACTTAGAAAAAATGGATGTACATGTGTTTGTGTGTGTATGTGTGTGTGTGCGTGTGTGTGTGTTCGGATACAAATTTTCGTCGACGATTTTGGGAACACGGATGAGGCGATTTGAATAATTCTAAAAAACATTCGATTTGTATTGATAAGGAGACGTGCTGATTAGTTTTTGGCAAAGGCAGGTCTAGCCTTTCCAAAGATATGGGGTAAAAAGTGCCAAAAACGGTAACTAGAGAACGGAGCGTCCGATTTGAATAATTCAAAAAACATTTTACTTGTATTAACAAGATGAAGAATTGATCAAATTTTCATGAAGGTAGGTCTAGCGGTTTCGGAGATCTGGTAAAAAAAGTAAAAAAAATGCCATCGTAGAGCGTAATATTTTAGTATGATCTAGAAGACTAAGGTGTCGAAATTTTTTTTTAAAACTTTATTACAAAAAAACGGCTGGACGGATTTCAAAAATTTAAAAGCCACTCGATGTATCTCGATGAGGACTCTTGTTTGTCAATAGTGCGACGATCGGCCAAGCCGTTTCTTTATAAATCGCAGAAAAGTGAAAAATTTTTCGTCTACGTTTTAGCCCGCAATTCTGAATCGATTTTGAAAATTCAAAAACCGTTCGAAAGATATTGGTTGGGAATCGTGCTGATTAGTTTTTGGTAGAGGTTTTAAAAAAAATTTCGACACCTTAGTCTTCTAGATCATACTAAAATATTACGGCTCTACGACAACTGGTTTAGCTTTAAAAAATCGTTAAAGTTTGCAAAAATTAGTATGGTCTTTTTGGCATTTGTCAGAATTAGAACTTTCATCGACGTTTGCTCAAAAACGCCTGAACCGATTTCAGATATTTAAAAAGCATTTGGTATATTTCGATGAGGATTATCGTTTCTCAGTTTTGTGCGACGATTGGCCGAGCCGTTTCTTTGTAAGTTAAAAAAAAGTGTTAAACCTTTCGTCCACATTTAAGATCATACTACCGACCCGATTTTAAAAAATCAAAAACAGTTCGAATGATGCTAGTAGGAAATGATACTGATTAGTTTTAGGTGAAAATCTACCGAGCCGTTTTCTTGTAATTAACTGTTGAAAAAAAAGTTTAAGCCGTTTTTCATGGAAATTTTTTTGGCGATATATACCATGGTCTTATAGAACTTACTGGAATATTACGGCCTTAAGACAAGTAGTTCAATTTTAAAAATTCATCAAACTTTGAGAAAATGAGGAATTTTTTTGACGTTTGTTAAAAATAAAATTAGATGATTTAGTTGGTATAACGATAGAGTACTTGGTCTTGAATATAGTAAACCATTAAAGTCCTACGGAAACTGGTTCAATTATAAAAATTATTAATTTGTGAAAATTTTATTTAAGAGAATACACCGAGTTAACGTATTCGTTCGTTCATTTTCAATTATGTGTAATAAATCCACTCGAAATACTTTTAATCACTCATAAATTAATCTATTTCTTATTGATTAAGTCGATTATTTACACATATCGGGAAGTTCATGTAATTTGCATCAAGGCTAAATACCAAACCAACTAGTTTTTTCTTATTTTGAGCAGAAGATAGGTGCAGGACGCCGGATGACAATGCCGGCAGATGTGTATCATTATACGACTGCCAACCGTTATTTGCCATCTTCAGTAGACGTCCAATTCCTAGTTCCTCAATCGATTTTTTAAGAAGGTCACATTGTGGGTTTGATGGACGATTACCCAGGGTATGTTGTCAACAGAATGGTAGTGGTGGTGAAGATACAGATGAATCCCGAGGCAGGCAAGTCGGAACTACATCAAGACCTACTTCTAGAACAACGCAAAGGCCCACCACCAGGAAGGTTTCAAGGAGGCCGACGCCAAGTATGCAATTAATGATAATTTAGTATTGAAATTTAGCTGAATTTATTTGTATAATACATTAAAGTTGTGCTTTAATAAGTAGTTTTTACTTGCAAACTGTAACTTAAAATTGAGTTATACAAAGCAATCCAACAGTAACTTTATTCAGTGTTTTGGTTTATTGTATCGTAATTGTAACAATTTTATAACTAAAGAAACTATATAAGTAAAATTTAGGGTTACATATTTAAAGTTATCTATTATATAAAAATAAGTCGGGTTTTCCTTCCTGACGATATAACTCCAGAACGCACGAATCGATTTCGACGATTTTGCATTCGTTGAAAAGGTCTCGGACTCAGTGAAGTTTATAGCAAAGAATATTGAAAAAAGATTTCAATAGAAAAGCGGAAAACACTTTTTTTTACATACAGCGTCAACTCTGATACTTAGCATGTACTACAAACTAATATTTTTTGTTTGACTGCCACTCATTTGTTTGACAATTGTGTTCACTGCCACTCATTTGTTTGACCGGCGTTGTGTGAAAATGTACAAAAAAGTAAAAACAAATAAGTTATTCGTTTCCTAACATTTCAGTTGGAAACCATCAAATCAATCACGTGTATTGTGCAAATTTTTTCTTTATCTTTTAATCACCAAACAAAATGTTTGAAATAAAACCATCTGGTGGTGAAACGGAATTCGCCCGGTTTGCTAGTAGTTTATATTTATTTAATCATATATTTATTCTTTAGCTGGCATAAGTGAAAAATACCAAGTATTTCATTTATGAACAAACCTTATGTTTCAGATAGTGATGGAAGTGCTGATGTTTTGCCAAGATCTCCAGATTGTGGAAGTGCAGGTGCTGGTAACAGAATATATGGTGGTGTTGTCACGGAAATTGACGAATTTCCTTGGATGGCCTTGTTGCAATATAGAAGAGGTAAATTTTCAAAATCTTAAATGTAGTACATTTTTTTCGATTAATTAAGAGGCTAGTACTAGTCCATTGTTTGGTCTTATTTAAAGTTTATTCCTTATCGAAAAATCTAAGATATAAATAGTAGACATGTTCTTTTAAAATAAATTGAAGCATGAGGAATTATTTTTTTACTTAACATAGTAAATTATTTTTATAAATTGCATGTAATTACATTTTTACGATCAGATGTTTGTTTAATGCTAGTATGATAGTTTTAATGCTTGCTAAAAAAAGTGTCAAAATTAGCGTGCAAATTATGAAGAAAGCACTTGGAATTTTTGGTCCATTTTGACTTTTATTTCTTTTAAGGTTTAAAAATTGTTTATTACTGGACTTTTTGTTTGTTTTAATTTTTTTGTTATTTATTGGCTTTTGACATACATCATAAGGCCAGATGCCATTCATACAATTGTTTATTACAAATTCTTATTGAATAATTAACTTATAAATTAATTTTAGCATTATTAATAAACTTAAATATATATTTATACATTTTTAATTTATTACTAGCTACTAGTGTTTCTACATTAATTGGGAAAATAACATTTTCTTTGTGTAAATTTATTATTAATGATCTTCTTTCGTTTTGGAACAAGTTGCATTCCCAAAACAGGTGTTTTAAGTTTCATAGCAGACTATACAATAAGTATATTCAATTTTATAATTAAATTAAATTTAATATGCTGGCGTCTGAAGGATAACTATCCTATGATATTACTGCACTTATGCATATTTCTGTAGGAGCAGTATGTGATCAAAGTTAGGTAAAATGTATGAATAAAGAAAAAGTATTCAAAACGAGTTGGGAAGGTAAAGAGAATCAGTATGTATGCATTTTGAGCTCAATTTATCAGTAGTATATTTTTAATCTATATCAGTAATAATAACAAGATCTAGTTTATATTATTAATATTTTGTTTTATTTTAGCCAATGGATCATTGGATTTTGCTTGCGGCGGAGCACTAATAAACAAATATTATGTTCTAACAGCGGCGCATTGCCTTGCTGGGGAAATAAATGAGAAAATAGGTCGACTGTAAGTTTTTTTACTGCACATGTAAATACTGATAAGTTTAAGATCACAATGTCAAGAACGAACGAAACATCACAAGATTAGTAAATACAAATTATGTCGAAACGTTTGATTACATTATGTTTTGATGCACGAATAAATATACTATATATAAATAGAAATTACTAATAATAAGAAAATAAGAATATGCATCAAACAAATTGATATATTACAATGCATTTTTATTTTCACAATTTTAGAGGGTGACTATATTGTGGCAATCACAAATTTTGCATTTGATATCAGATACGTAAATGTAGAATTCATTTTCTAGAACATTTCAATGTACGTACTTCTGTAACTCGTTCTATATTTATTTTAGTTAATTAAAAAATAATATTTTGACCAACATCGAAACCATGAATTAGTTCTTTTTTTTGGTCTTTTTTAACAATTTGCAGAAAAATAATTTTACTGAAATCTGGATTATGAAATAACCTTCCTTTTCGTAGTTATTGGTTTCAGAATGTTGATCAATCCTAACCAATTAACCAGTTAAACATAATTTCCAACGTACTTTGCATGCAATTTTCTGACTCAAATAGTGACATTTATTTATATATATATATATATATATATATATATATATATATATATATATATATATATATATATATATCATACCATAACAGCAAAAAATAGGTTGTTACTACTGATTCAAAAGAACGCTACTTTACTGTGATTGCAGTATATAGCATAGCAATTTAAATAGCTCTCTGTATGTACTTCCTCTTTATCTAAAAAGAATAATTTTTTTTAGTCAAAATACATTTATTTCATATTCATTATTATAATTTTTAGAGCTTTTGTGCGATTGGGCGAATATGACACAGATACGGAAACAGATTGTACAGGTACGAACGATTGTGCAGATCCTGTCCAGGATATTCCTGTTGAGGAAACTATTGTCCATCCTGAGTATGATCCTCGAGCTAAAGACAGATATCACGATATTGGACTTGTCAGATTAGCAAGACCAGCCAGTTATAGCGGTAAGAGAGATTGATGTGTATCAAATTTTGAAATTCAGTACCACCCAAGTAGCTCGAACAAGTTTCCCATCTTTGAAGTTTCTTTGTTTATCTTTGTTAAACATAAGACATTGGATTTATTTCTCCCTGACCGTCCCATTTTACCCTGCTTATGGGAAAAAAAGGACCAGGAGACAACTTACAACAAAAAACACATTGATACAATGATGAATTAGCTGGCTGTTTTACTGAACATAGTCATATAGTTATTTCTTGGAAATATGTTATTTGTTGTTAGGAGGCGTCCATTAATCATGTGAGATTTTTAGGGGGAGGGAGGGTTTGACAAAAATCACGAAATACCACGTGGGGTAGGGAGAGTTTATTTGAATTTAAAAAAAATCCTAACATTTTTGAAAATAAATCAAAAATTTTACAATTTTTTTTCGAAACCAAAAATAAACGTGATGTTTGGTGGGGGAGGAGGGTAATTTTGTATATAAACATGTTTTACCAAGTATCACCAAGGGGCAGGAGAGGTCCAATTTTATTTAAAAAATCGATCACGTGATCAATGGACATTCTCTGATATTATTGGTTTGATTTTTACAATATATTTGCTCAAAGTCAAATTAGATCTTTGTGCTCCGCACTACCCTACATGTAAAGGTAATGACTGTAAAACATAATTGAACAGTAAAACTTTCGATTAAATGCTTAATTGGTCAGAATCACAATCTGCTATGAAGCAGTAGTGATATTCAATATAGTGATATCAATATAGTATACAATAGATAGTAGTAGTACTATCACCATTATTAGACAGAGGACAACCATTGGAATAAAGCCAAGTGGTCACATTGTTTCGAAGAAGTATCATCACAAGAAATTATAAAACTCTTATTTCTGATTGCAGTTGAAAATCAATTAGAAAAAAAAAACAAACAAAAAAGTAGGTCGACCATTTTTTCGGTATACAAGTACAAATTCTAATGTTAAGAATCATACCAATCGTAAGGGCCATGGTATGTTAATGGTTAGAACTGTGTACCTGAAAAGAATTTTATCATGCACACCATTTTTGTGATTTTTTAAATATATTTATAATTTAAATTTAAATTCAAATATATCTTTATTATTTTTAAAAATAATTTTTAGATTATGTGTCGCCAATATGTTTACCTACATCATCGCAACTTCGTACTTCAGCTGGAGATAGTGTTTCTGTAGCCGGATGGGGTAGAACCTTAAGTTGTAAGTAAAATAATAATTCAATTTAATCATATTTATTACCTAAATATCTGTATATGATAAAGACTAATATTGGTCACTTTGGTCAAAAATACATAATATATCGTAGTTGGTAAATTCTAACTAAAGCCAAGAGGTATATAGTAAATATTGTTAGCAGCAAACTTTGTTTGAACAATTTAGAAGAGATAGGGGAGCTGAGGATGAAGTGATGACTACAGGAAAAACATTAGATTTTTGTTTAATATTTTACATCTACAGCAACTATTTTTCAGTAGTCATGACAAAAATATCGGTGGTTTTGCTTTATATGTTAATTGCAGCGATTAGTAGATAGAGATAAAGATTGAGAAGTTGCAGTACAATTACCAATACAATTTACTTAAATTTGAAATTTAATTTTTTTAAGAGATGTTTGGCGACTAATTTCCGCCTAAATCAATTATAATGTACATTCAATTCACTTATAGCTCGTCAAAGTTCTGTAAAACTCAAACTAGAGATACCAGTTGTCGCCGAAGAAAACTGCCGATCAGTATACAGACGTTCTCGTGTCAATTTAGGCGACGGCCAAATTTGTGCAGGTGGCCAATTTGCTTTGGACGCATGTGATGGCGATTCCGGAGGTCCATTAATGCAACTTGTCGGTTCATCCTGGACAAGTATTGGGGTTGTATCTTTCGGAAGGGGCTGTGGAGTTGAGGGTTGGCCTGGTGTTTACACTAAAGTTACTCAATACGTTGATTGGATTGAAGATAGTCTGAGACCTTAAATGTAATTAATTTAATTGTGAAATGTGTGATTTTGTTAGGTAGACTAATTATAGAAACTTATTTAAATAAATAAGGTATAAGTGATTTATAAGTATGATTGTTTAATATATTTTCTTACTACTTACTAATATCACGACGGTTTTTTGCTTAAAGCATTAATCAAACTGTGAATTGTGAATTTCACCATCAAAAACATGAATTAGTGAATTTCGTTTTTATGCGAATTTATGCATCATATTTTCTTTTTTATATGATCTTATGATATAAAAAAACCTCAAGAAATGCTATCCAAAACAAACTTTTTACGAGATAATATGTTTTTTGAACAGTAAGAAAGTTATCGTGTGCAAGAACTTGTGCCATTTATTATTTATTCTAAAACTATTTAACAAGCTTTTCCGACATATTTTTAAAAAATCAGTAACTTTTCTTTGTTAATTTTATACTAAAACCAGAATTAGAAAATGGTGTCACTTTTAGGTCATTTTTTTACCGAAAATGCGATTGATGTTAGGTGGGAACGCTTTTGTAATTGATTTAATGTTATTTTATTTATCACAATATTTAAAAAATTAAAAGCTTAGGTTTGTTAATTAATAATATTAATATTTTTCATTCAAACACGATAACATTTCTGAAATTGCGCCTGATACAAATCAATAAATCAGAGGTAATCCGAACGAGGCGAGGTTTATTAAATCTATTTTTTAATTTTTTGTTGGAACTTATTTGACAATAATGATGGTTATCTATCTAGTGTAATCTCTAAAAGTAGATTTTTTTTAGAAGAAGCTACCTCGTCTTAGTGGTGTCCAAGAAATATTTTATTACATGTAGATTTTTCTTTCTAGGATACATCACTTACAGAAATATTTTTTAAGATTAAGGTAACTCTTTTTAGTGGAATAAAATAATTATTTTTTAGATAAACGGTCCTCTTCTAGTGGAATAGAAAAATTATTTTCTGAAATGAGGCTTCCTCTTTCAAGTAAAACATCAATAACAGAAGTAATATTTTAAATAAAAGTACCTATTCCTAGTGAAAAAAGTAATTATTTTTTTGAGGAAATCACTGTTTTCTGGTGGAATGAAAAAAAATTTTTTTTGGTGAAGATATCTAGTGGAATAGATGAAGATTTTATCTTTCTAGTAAAACATCACTATCAGAAACATTTTTTTTTAAATTAAACTACCTCTTTCTAAGGTTATAAAATAATTATTTTTCATATAAAGATTTCTCTTTCTAGTGAAACATTACTATAAGAAGTATTTGGTGAGATGATGGTATCACCTTCTAGTGGAATAAAAGAATTATTTTTTAGATAAAAGTTCTATTTTCTAGTAATTTGCTAAAAGAAGTAATAAAGGTAGGTACCTTTTTCTAGAATAAAATAATTATTTTTCAAATGAAGATACCTCTTTTAGTGGAATGGATAAAGGTTCCGCTTTCTAGTGAAACACCGCTAACAGATTTTTTTTTTAAATGAATCTAATGGAATAAAATCATTATTTTTCAGATAAAGTTTCTTTTTTTAGCAGAACATTACTAAAAGAAGTATTTGCTTAGATGGAGGTATCTCTTGTTGGTGGAATAAAGAAGTTCTTTTCTAGATTTCTAGATTCAGCAGTTTCCTTTTTCTAGTGAAACTTAACCAAAAGCAATATTTTGCTATACAAAGGTATCTTTTGCAAGTGGAATAGCAAATTTTTTCAAATGAAGGTTCCTCTTTCTTAAACATCACTAAAAGAGGTATTTTGTTAAATGAAGGTGCCTCTTTCTGATGGAATAAAAAAAATATTTATTTAGATGAAGTGGAAAATCACTAAAAGAATTATTCTTGATTCTTTTAGTTCAACTTCTCTCATGATTGTATCAAGTAATATTAAGTTCTTCAATGTTGTATACCATAATTTTATCATTTAGCGTAATTATTTTACCACATGTTTTTATCACAATGATTTATCTTCGTACAATTTTCAGGGTTTATGAGGTAAATGTTCTACATTATGACCATAAATATAAGACCTTAAATACGCTTATACAAAATACCAGACGCAACTTATTCATAAAGATAACTAACCATGAACTGAAATACAACAATTACGCATTAAATTAAGATTAAACCCGTTAATAAAATTTACTAGCGGACATAAATCAGATTATAAGAGACTTGTTTTATTCTATAAAGTCATACAGTGGAGTGTTCTGTATCAGCAATTAGGAAATTGGGCGACGATACTAAATTTTCATTATTGGAAGATTTATTTGCTAAGAATTGCATGCAGTTGTTTGCTAATTGCAATTGTAATTTTAATTGTAAAACGATACGATGTATATAATTAAAGAATCACCAGAGGATTGTGCCACAATCCTTAGAATAATTTTTAATATTACTTATTATAATTTTTTCTTTGACAAATGTATATTTTTTAATATTGAATTAGGAAATATTGAATATTGTGAACATGCTACGTTGAAGAAGGATATATTAATAATCGGTTCAGACAATTACTCTACAAACAAACATTGAATTGTTATTTATGTCAAGACTATGCAATTTTTGTAATCAAACTATATTTAATACAAATTTATTTTATAGCCTTTCATCATCACATCTATAGGAGAAACTGTGACTATATAAGGAACCACATTAGAAAACATTTATTAATTATCTACTGGCCCGTACAACTTTCAGCTCATATTCTGAATTTTTCGATATATTACTAAATAATTATGGATTTTTTTGTGGGATGACGTGAGATAAATCTTAATTGTATAACGTAGTCAAGGCAAGCAATACCAATATTAATGACATTTGTTAGGCTTTTCGACCTAAAATAATATTGTCATACACAAGAGTGTCTTGATGTAAAACAAAAATTTGGCTCATAGAGTGTTTTATAATGATCTATATAATTTCATATAATAGTTTATAAAAATATATAATTCGTAATGTTTATTAATTTTTGATTATCTATTTTTAGGTAAAATTTAATCAGATGTAAATCAAAAAAGTGTATATAAAATTATGAGATTGCATTTGTAGGAACCATGCTGATAAATACGACGACATCCAGGGAGAATATTAGGTTTCTACCAGATTTGCTTACATTTAATTTCTCGAAGTCAAACTGAATCGTTTGACACCAGAATTGGAAATAGTATATATGTGGGTAAATTTTCTAAATAAACTGTTATATATGTTATCGTCATGATTTTTGAAGATATTAAATCTCTTCATAATCATTAGTGATTAAATCGCTTATTTACTAATTTTGGAACTCAAATGAAACTTGCTTTAAACTTACACTCAGTTTTTTTTTACAGTTTAAACATTTAATTGACATTATCAATGTATTTAATTAATCTCATTCAATTTTATTTATGAATAGACATAAAAAATTTAATAAATATTATGCATTATATATTCTTATGAAAGCATATAATATTACCAAAAGAGTGCTTAATTTTGTACAAGTTTAAGGGGCAATTTTTTTAGTTTAAAGGGAAAAAATTCACAGAATCAATTGAACTGCGTACTTTAGAGGTTCCTTTTCTCTTCACAAGCATAAAAAGACAAATTTCTTAGAATCAATTGGACTGCTTACTCCGAATATTGCTTCTTTATTTGATAGCTACTCATTCCAAATGTTGCTTCTTCTTTTACAAGTTCAAGAAGACAAGTTTTGTAGAATCAATTGGGATTTACTTCAAAGCCTGCCTACTTCTTTACAAGTTCAAAAGTACAAATTTCGTTGAATAAATTGGGATGCTTACTTTAAAGGCTGCTTACTTCTTTACAAGTTTGAAAGGTCAAATTATGTAAACTAAAAGCCTGCCAACTTCTTTACAAGTTTAAAAGGACAAATTTCGTAGAGTTAATTGGGATGCTTACTCAAATGCTGTTTCTTCCTTAACAAGTTCAAGAGGAAAAATCTTGTAGAATAAATTGGGGTGCTTACTTTAAAGTCTGCCAACTTCTTTACAAGTTTAGAGGACAAACTTTGTAGAATAAATTTGGATGTTTACTTCAAAGTGTGCTTACTTTTTTACAAGTTTAAAAGGACAAATTTTGTAAATAAAATTGGGATATTTACTTCAAAGTCTGCTTACTTATTTATACTAAGTATAAAAAGACAAGTTTTATAGAATCAATTGGGCTGCTCACTTCGAAGACTACTTACTTCTTTAAAAGTTTAATAGGACAAATTTCGTAGAACAAATTACGCTGCTAACTTTTTAACAATGTTAAAAGAACAAATTTTGAAGAATCATTGGGATACTTTCAAAACCTTATTTTATTATTTTTTAAAGTGTTTAAATGAACAACGTTTGTAAAACGAATTTCTTTTAAATTTTGTAGTATCAATTGGGTTGCTTACAGAAGACAAAGCATGCTTACTTATTCACACTTTTAAAAGGACAAATTTAGTAGAATCAATTGTGCAGCTTACTTCTTTAATACTTTAAAAGGACAAAATTGGTAGAATTAATTGGGCTGCTTACTTCTTTAAAAGTTTAAAAGGAAAAAATTCGTAGAATCGATTGGGCTGCTTACTCCTACACAAGTTTAAGAAGACTAATTTAGTAGAATTATTTAGGCTGCAACTTCTTTACGAATTTAAAAAGACAAATTTCGTAGAATCAATTGGGCTGCATATTTCTATACAAGTTTAAAAGGACAAATTTTGTAGATGCCTTGAGCATACTTTAAAACCTACTTACTTACTTTTTTAAAAGTTTAAAAGAATAAATTTTGTAGAATCAATTGGGCTACTTACTTCAAAAGCTGCTTTCTTCTTTACAAGTTTAAAAAAACAAACTTCATACAATTATCAGTTGGGCTTTTGCACTGAAAATTATTAATAGATTGTGTTCTATCGAGTTCGAATACTTTTCTTCAAAACAATTTTTATGCTTTATTCGAAACTTCTGATCTGACGACATTATAGTAGTGTGAATTTTCCTAGTGTCATGGATACTAAACTTTATACCGAGATATGTACCGTTTCAAAAGTCTGGACGGTAAGTTTGCACCTAAATCGGCCATTAGTCTAAGATGGGCTGAAATTATTAATGCAAGGTGGAAGTACAAATGCAATTGAATTTTCTGTGAGCATCATAGATATTTTTATACAATAGGTATACAAACTAATAATACGATTACCTTCACTACGTCACTGGGTTAATTTCTATCCATATCACACCTAGCCACGATTTTACACCGTTCATAAATCGCAACCAAAATTACCTACCTAGCTCGGTCGCGCGAATTATGACTCGGCATACGCGATAGTAGGTGAAAGTAATTACAAATGCGACAATTACAGGGACGCATAGCCTTTCGGTATCTGAATCTGGTTTAATTGTGATATACAATATATGCAAGACAGATTTATAGTGCAAATCCTCTGAATATATGGTACGGGCTTTCTTAGTTGCAGAGACTTTTCGGGTCGCTTAACGGCTAGAACTAATTACTTCGAAAGATGAACGCATCTGCGTCGCCTTTGCATTCTGATTAAGGGAGGAAGGAAAGGGTTGCACGATGGAAATGGTTATAAGCTGGTATAAAAATAGATTTATTAATAGGGTGCTGCATTAAATACTCTTAATAAATACTTTAGAGCCATAAAGAAAATTTAAATTAAAGGATTTCTTAATACACACACCAATATATAAATATATGGAGCAGTCCATGGCTATTCTTACCTCAAGTTTTCCATTTATCTTTAATTTTTTTCTTTATGTGGTAAATGGAATTTTTAATTAGAGGACAAAATTTCTTAGACCATTGAACTTTTTGGTAAAGACGGGCATAGAATATAAAAAACAGAATATATACTTGTGAGAAATGTACAAAATAATTACGAGGTTTAATTCATTTTAAGACTTGTCGCTAATAGGTGATACAAATAGTGACTAGAATAAATTCATTACTGACAACTATATTGGGTTATTTATATATGATATGAAAATATGATATGACCATACGTCATCATCAGCGAATATAGAAACAATAGATTTACATTTTAGATATAATAGAAAACATTTACAATAATAAATATGAAGCATACTGCAACAGAACATACACTAATATGTGTCACTAAAATTGACACTAAGTGTAGATTAAATTCTGATTCAAATATCATAAAAAAAATTTCAAAAATTTTCCAGATCGTCGAATTTTGAATAAAAAATGACACGAATTTTCACTTTTAATTCATTTGTCGCTAAGTTGTACCTAACAATTTTTCTTTTAATTTTCAAAATGTTTTCCATGCTATTTTCATACAAAGGTTGATTGAATTGTGCACTATCTAAAAGTTAATATTATGAGCTAAAACTTTCAGATAATTGTTTTTTATCAATTTGGAAGCAATTGAGCCCTTGGGAGCAAGGAAATTCGAAAATGTCTATATTAAGAACCACCCTAATATATATACGTATATATATATATATATATATATATATATATAAATTGAAATTCTGCTGTTGCATATATTATATATGAAGATCTATTTAGCATCTCTTTGTTAGATATATTTTCAAGTACATTGAGCAGCACAATTATTTCTTAAAAATTAAAAATTTATATTTCATATTAATTCATTCATAGTTAAAAAAAATTAGTGCATTATCGTATGAGAAGTTTGTATACAATATTTATATTTTATTTTTGAATGGAATAACACGATTAATGCAGATTTAGTAATATCTTAAAATAATTTGTTCATTTTTGTTGAATATGATATTATAGATCTAAGATAACTTTCAGGATTCATGCCGCAGATATATTTAATTTTCTGAATAATGTTGGAATACAATCATGCAGATCATTATTCTATCTTAATTTAAACAATTCACCTTTAAATGTATTGCAATTAATTATGGTATCACATCACAATTTAATTTTCATCCTATAAGTTTTAGTTGTTTTAAATTCCAAAATTTTTGTTTTAAAATTTTGAAACTAAAATTTGATTTTTGCGAGAAAATTTTTAATTATTTTTACTAATCGAACTGATTCAGAAATATGATAAAATGTAAGGTCATTTATCAACTGTTTTGTACTGCTCAATCTTTATAGCGGCAATATTAAATGAAGTTTTATTATATTTATTTAATAATATAATGCTTTTATATAATTCTTATCTAATTATATAGGATAATATGCATTTGATTATTTGTTTCTAGTACAGAATTTCATAATTCATCAGCAGTATGTTATTATAAAAACATATGTATATAAATATATATATATATATATATATATATGTATATATATTATATTGTATATTATTCTATATACTACAAAGTGAGATTTCTGTTGAAATGAGATTGAAGTTTATCAAATGTATATGGAGATGATGTTTTACCAGATTGAAGAAGAACATTAAAGTTATTAAAATGTTTATATTTTTGCACATACTTTCCAAGTACAGACCTGTTAATTACCTGCAATGTGATTACTATCAGTGTATATAGAGCACATGAAGGTTTTGGCAAAATTCGTGTTTTGGAGACTCCAAAAGCTCAATAGTGATGACAAAGTTTTAAAATGCAGTTTGGAGTTCGAGTTTATATAGTGTTCTCTATGATCTTTACTATTAATAATGGTGAGTTTTTGGATCTACTTGTGTAGAAGTGAAAAATTTAATTATTTTTAATAGTGTAATAAATATAACATTGCGAATCGTAAGTTTGGCCAATTGTTGGATTATTTAGATATTTTAATTTAAACTATAACGAAAATTATCCAAGAATTTTTTGTTTCTATATGTATGATCATTATAATTTTTAAAGTGGTGATTTTAATTTATATTTCATTCTAGTTATATCTTTCTCATTGCAACAACGTTGCTACTTCAATGACTGTATTGTATTTCCCGATTCGGATTTATTTACACATCTTCAAAATAAAGTAGAAGAAACAACAACGGATCAGTCAAGGCAATCGGAATCAAAACAGAATGAGGTATGTAATTTTGAAAAAATACATGTGATATAAATAAAGATGTATACTTTCTCTATATATCCAAAAATTGGTTAATAAAAGAATGAGATAGTCGCTCCTAACCTAATGAACTGAAATCGAACATTTTATTTTGCCCAAAATTTCGATCTTAAATTTAGATAAAGCAGATTTTTACAATGGTGATACAATTTTTAAGATTTTTACAATGGTGATAAAAAATATTGCATTCAAATTGATTTTTTTAAATCGATTTGGAACTTTTTGGCCAAATTACTATAAATGTGCATCGCAAATAAACATTCTATTATTAATAATTTTTAGTAAAAATATCATGGTAGTATAAGGAAAATTATCTTTATATCATATTAATTTAAGTAATATAAAGGTATAAGAATGAAATTTAAAATGTTTTATATATTTGTATATCATCTAAAAATATTATATATTAGGGTTATTGTGGTATGCATCGTTCTAAGTCAATGAACAGCCGAATATATGGAGGTGAGATAACAACTTTAGGAGAATTTCCATGGATGGCGATTTTGGGATACGGTTTTACAGATAATGTTAAATTTATGTGTGCCGGAGTCCTGATCAGTCCCAGACTTGTTCTAACCGCAGGACATTGCGTTACTGGACCGGCTTTGGTCGACTCTGGACCACTGTGAGTTTTTGGAAATATAATAATAATAAATAATAATTGGTTGTTTTCTGGATTCTCGATTATCTTTCCCTTCATTACTTATCATTAATATTTCATTACCATTACTCACATTTTTATACACTTTCATGCATTTTTCTTTTCAAACCTCTGCTTCCATACTTTCTAGTGCTCTGATCAATCATCTACATTTGATTTCTTTCCAGTCCTTTTAGACTATCTATTTAACCTTAGACTGTAAGAAAGGCATCCTTTTTGCAGAATTGTTATGATCCAGATTTCTTTCCATCTAATGAATAATTGTTCTTATTATTATATAATGTATTAAAAATCATATGAAAAGTTAGGCAGTTAAATTTTTGAAGCCAAGCGATCTGGTTTCTTTTTGAAGTCGACAATAAGAATCAGTATAGAAATTTATTCTAACTTAAACAGAGAGTATTCAATTTGGTCTTCATTAGAATTAGACAAATGGGAGACATTTTTAGATCCTTTTTTCAAAATTGTTATAGGTGTTCATTTCATACAGAGTATCCCAGAACGTAACGAATTGAGGTTATAGTTTTGATCGTAGCTATTATAAAAAAGCTTTTTTTTATTCCATGCAGTTTGAAAATTATAAGCTTTTACATGCAACTTAGAGCTTTGGTGAAACTTGTGCTCAAACTTCTTTATGTGCGCAAACTTTTGATGGAACTTGGCAACACACTTTAGTATTTTATTTTGAAACGAAAGCGTTTTAAAGGAGGATGTAATTCTAGAAAACTTGGCAATTAAATCATCATTTTTGGCTGTGGTATTAGAGATGTTATTTACGATTATGCATCCAAAGCTTAAATAAATAAAATTATTAAATAATCAGGACACAATAACCAAAAAATGGTCACAATTTCACCAAAGCTCTAGATAGAGCTATTTCTAATTTTTTTCCTGATAGTAACGATCAAAACCGTCACCCTGTTTCGTCTTGAGATTGAGCTTTGAGACACCCTGTATAGTATATATAATTGTTAATATATAATTTTAATTTTTCATATTAATATATTATTATTTATGATTTGAAAGATAAATAAAATACTATAATTTATTTATAAGCCATTCACGCCACAACTAATAGCAGAGAATATTCTATTATTAATAAAAAAAATGTAGGATATATATATATATATATATATATATATATATATATATATATATATACAGTGGCGGCGCTAGACCATTCGTAGGCGTCGGCGAAATTCGTTTGCGAGGCCCCCCCTTATTTCCAATTAAAGTTGACTAGTGATGCATGGCATCGTGCCTTAAGGCAAATTGCTGGAGCTTTCCGTGCTGTAATTTAAATTCTTTAAAAGTTTAAAAAAAATTGAAAATTGAAATAATTTTTTTTTTATTTGAAATATTTTTATACTTTGAAATTTGTTGAAAATTTCGAACTTTTTTTTCAAAGCAATCACGCTGCGTTAGCCGAAATATCGGACGAAATATCGTACATTGGTACCGAATGCATAGTAATGCAAACAACATTTGTACTTATTAACAAAAATCTTTATAAAATAATTTATAATTTGATGTGCATATGTCTAATGATCATTTTTGTACACTAAATGGCTTTGCTTTTACTTTTTTTATTGAATCTGCGAAACCGCTAGATCTGCCTTCCTAAAAATTTAACCAGTTCTTCATTTTGTTAATGCAAATAAAATGTTCGTTGAATCATTCAAATCGGACGCTTCATTTTCTTAAAGACTGAAATACCATTTTGGCACTTGTCCTGCCTTTGCCAAAAACTAATCAATACAAATCAATTGTTTTCTGAACTTTTCAAATTGGTTGATCCGTGTTCACGAAATCGTCGACGAAAATTTGTATCCGCGTATATATACATACATACATACGCACACATACATCCATTTTTCTTAAGGTATGCCAAAATGTTTAGAAACCTTCGTAACGAAAAGATGTATGAAAATTTTCATTCTCGATTTTTTGCGATTACTGTAACTTACCCTACGGGAAGTTAAAAATTACATAAGTTAAAATAAACAAACTCTTCGGCAAAAATAGTTCGTTCTTCAGATATTAGAAAAATACTGAAATTAAATAATTATTCCGAAGAAGTTTCTTTTTTGTCAAATCATTCGATTAGCTAATTTTATGAATTTTCGACCGTTCAAGTCATTCGGAATGAAAATGATTCGAAACCACCGACCTAATCAGTAACTAATTAGACAAAATTTTGCAATCTACAATTGAATAATTAGAAAAATCTACAATCATAATGATTTGAGTGCACAAATCCGCACATGGAACATACACATGGCATTACCTGAAAACTCGGCCCATTATTCCACAATTTAATGAATTTTTATAATTAATCACTTATCGCAGTTCCATAAAATTTATGTTAGTTTAGACTATAATTGTTATCCCTATATGAAATTTTTCTTTAAAAATATATTTTTACAAATCTTTTAACTCTTATAAAAGAAAAAACGGTTCGGCCGTTCTTCTCTACGAAATTCTAATCAGCACGATTTCCTGAAAATGCTGAACTGAAAACTTCCGAACAGTTTTTGAATTTTCAAAATTGGTTCAGGAATGTCGAAATGTCGGATTTTTTAAGAATGATCAACCGATTTAAATGATTCAAAAAACATTCGATTTGTGTTGATAAATTGGCAAAGGCAGGTCCAGCGGTTTCGGAGATGCAAAAAAAGTGTGAAAGGTTATAAATGCAGTTTTTGAAAGAACTGATCATCCGATTAAAATAATTCAAAAAATATCTTGCTTGTGTTGACGGTGTGAAACGATGATTAGTTTGAAAGTAACTGTATTTATAATATTTATTTCAAAATGTAAAACGATAGTTATATCTCATTGATTAATTCTTACTGATCATTGATTAATTTTATTCCTTGAATATTTAATTACAGTTTGGATATATTATGATACCTACTCATAAGAATTCCCAAAAGGAATAATGATTTGACATTATCTTCACATAAGAAACAACCAAACAAATATAAACAATCAGAGAATTAGCCTTCTCGCGCGAAGTTGTTTAGATTTAATAATCTATAGTGTTGACAGACGATATTAGATAGTGCCCATCTTGCGAGGCCCCCTGAAGCGCGAGGCCGTCGGCGGTCGCCGACACCGCCGACGCCTCGCGCCGCTACTGTATATATATATATATATATATATATATATATATATATAATTGGGGTATGCTTTATATGAATTTTTTGTGGTAGTTTTTTTGAAATGATTATTTAGTTTTTGTATAAAATTCTTTAAAAGTTGATAAAAAATATAGTTATGAATTTGATTTTTTTTATTTACAATATTTATAACAACTGTCAAATAATTTAACATTTAGTAATAATAGTAAACAATAATATAAATTTAAATATATATATATATATATACAAAATATAGAATTTAAAATGACATCCTTAGTATGATGATTTAATATAAAAAAAGCAAATAATAAAAAAAATAAAATTAATAAATAAAATAAATGCAAAAGTGGAATTAAAACAATAAGTGACAGATAATAATAAATGACATAGAAATTTTAAGATAATAATAACTTGAAATGTAGCAATATTATATTTTTGGAGAAACGCCAAATTATATATATATATATATATATATATATATATATATATATATATATATATACGTATACATATATAATTTTTAGACGAGTTGTTCGCTTGGGAGAATACAATCTGAAATCAAATCCTGATTGTTTGAAGAAGAAATGTGCTTTACCTCATCAGCAAGTAAAGGTTTTAAAAAAACACCCGCATCCAAATTACAAATCGTATAGAAGAGAACATGATATTGCTATCGTTGAATTGGAAAAAGATATAAAATTCACAGGTAATTTAATTTGAAGTTTTTTTTTATTTTTCTATTCGAAATATTTTTTCACCAAACAGATTATGTTCAACCTATATGCTTGCCAACAAATGTGGAACCTAAAATAAGCTATGGAAAACACTATTCTATTGCTGGCTGGGGAAAAACACAATCAGGTGATTTTAAATAAACAAAAGTATCATTTATCAAAGGAAAAAAATAACTACTTGCACAATACTAAGAATATTAATTACTTATTTGACCAAACACCAACTCTTAGTAAGCATGTACTAATATAAACATATAAAACCAAATTATCACAAATAAATTATATATATATATATATATATATATATATATATAATTGTAAAAATTGCTAACAATACAAATGAAATATATACTCTTGACATTTAGTCAATAATAAGGTACAAATGTGAGCAAATAATGGAAAAATCACAACATTAGTAGAATCCCTATAAAACAAGTATGCAAATTTTTCCTTGAGACAAAATTCGTTCAGATGTGTATACATTCATAGACTCTACAATTTCAAAATAAAATATATAATTTTGGTATTATTTGTATCATCAATTCTATTTTATTTAATATTAGCCCTTAGCAGTGATGTGATGCTGAAAGCTGAAGTACCTTTAATGCCAAATTTTGCCTGTGCCAAAGCATATGGGATGGCAAATGTTTCTGATCTTCATGATGGTCAACTATGTGCTGGTGGCGAGGAAGGCATCGACTCTTGCAGAGGTGATAGCGGTGGACCTCTGATGGCTAAATCTGGTATACAAATAAATAGATTAAAGTTGTGATGGTCTTAGTAGTAACTAGAAGTTAAATGCATAGTTACGCCAATAAAATTAACAATAATAAAATTAACATACTTTACATAAAAGGGACGTCAAGTTTATGTCAGTACTTTAAATGGACTTCTTTTTAGAATCTTCAAATGACGACTTGGGACCTTGGTATGCAATTGGGATAGTTTCATATGGTATAACACCATGTGGATCAATTGGAAAACCTGCTGTTTATACAGATGTTTTATATTACATGAACTGGATCAGAAGTATTATGTCAAATTATGATCAAAAATAATTAGAAATAAATAGTAGCATAAAGGAATATAAAATAATATAATCATTACTATTAAAATTAAAATATGATAAGTTTGTCTCATAAAGCGATAACAACTTTCGATTATTATTCAATTTTCGAAATAATATTATATATATATATATATATATATATATATATATATATATATTGCCAATTATTTCATACGCATTACGATCACCAAGGTTAATTTTGAAGATAATCTTTTGCTCTCTAGGCCAGACTTTATTATTTTCTAATATGTAGAATTAGAATACGATTTAAATTATATTAGTAATGTTTATATAAATAATAAATATATACAATATTTCTATTATCGATTTGGGGTCGAGTAATTAGCAAGGTGAAATGTGTTTTGACCAGTAAAATTTCCCAAAGAAAATATATATTCCTGCAATTAATTGAGAATTATTATAAATATAATCTGAAATACAATTTTTTACCAACGTCAAAGAAATTGCTTGAGATTGTTCATAAAATCTTTTAATTAACTTCCCGTAGGGTAAGTTATTGTAATGGGCCGAAAATCGGAATTGAAAATTTTTACATTTCTCGACGTTTTGAAGGTTTCTGAACATTTTGGCATACCTCAGAAAAAATGGATGTGTGTGTGTGTGTGTGTGTGTGTATGTGTGTGTGTGTGTATGTATGTGTAGATACAAATTTCCAGTCACGTTTTAGGGCGCACGGATCAACCGATTTGAATGGTTCAAAAAACATTCGATTCCTATTGATAGGGAAAAGAGCTGATTAGTTTTTGGCAAAGGCAGATCCAGCCGTTTCGGAGATACGGAGCAAAGAGTGCGGAAAATAGAAATCGAATTTTTGAGAGAACGGAGTATCCGATTTGAATGATCTAAAAAACATTCAATTAGTAATGATTGGGAGAAGTGTTTATTAGTTTTTGGCAAAGGCAGGCCCAGCCATTTCGAAGATACGGAGCTAAATATGTAAAAAATGGCAGATTTTGAGAGAACTAAGCGTCCGATTTGAATAATTCAAAAAACTTTCTGCTTGTCTTAACAAAATAATTGATTTTGGAAAAAAAATTTTTGTTCCATTTTTTTTTTTTTTTTAGTTTTTTGTTGAAACAAATAATTTCAACTTTGCAATTCAGTTTATATAATTCTTATAAATATTAGACAATGTTACAATATTTATAATAATCTATTTGAAAACATTCAGTATTCCTCAAACATTTCGTTACGGTACGGGAAGTTCCAGCAATTTGCCTTAAGGCACGATGCCACCCACCCCACTAGTTACATTTTATTTCATACTTGACATGACATTTTATTACTAGCATTTGACACATTTTTATTAATTGATCTAATTTTTATAAATTGTAATTTTGTAATTACTATAAGGTAGAGCGGGCCCTAAAGATTTGCAGGTGAAAAGGTCCACCACCGATATCTCAAAAACCAGTAAAAATGAATTTTTTAACAACAGTATTTGCAAGTAGAGGGAAAATATGTATAACCAGCCATCACCTTGATTCTTACGACATTGCTATCGGGAGATAAACGGCAATGTTTAAAAATTCACAACAAAAATATTTTCTCTCTTTTTCAGTTTTTTTGGTTGTGAGCACTGTTACTTAGTTTACAAAACCTAAATTAGTTTTTAACTACCCGTTATTTAATTGTTTTATGAAATGTATTGTTACTGTTCAATTTAAGTTAGATACAACAGTTTTTTATATGACCTTGGTAAAAGCTTACATGTAGGTGGGGTAAAAAGGACCAACCTAACCGTTACCCTGGCAAAATGTAAACAATAAAAAAATAGTGAACAAAAAAGTAAATGAAGTTAAACATGTAATTTTGCAAGAGATAAATTGTATAAATAGTTATTCCAAATCTGCTGCTGTTTTTTCTGACAAAATACCAGATCAAGGTTATATACAGTGTTGTTTCAAATTTATATTTTGTATTAGTTGAATAATGTATTATTCAACAGACTTCAAATAATGCATTATTATAAATAATGTAGCTGTTATTTTGTAAAATCCCTCTAAAAACTAATAATCAGACTTATTAGTCTCTTGGCCATCCCAATTTATCCCGTCTACGGGACAAAAAGAAGCAGGTGACAAATTTTTGAAAAACTGCAAATAACACATATCCAGAATGATAAATCAGCTGGGAGTTTTACTGAACATAGTCAGATAGTCATTTGTTTCATATATGGTATTTATTGTCAATAATTGGTAAGGTAACCACAATATAATTGCTAACAATCGAAGTGGACCTTTGTGCCCTGCCCTACCCTAAATATAAAAACAGATATTGTAGAACTAATTCGGTGATATTCTTACGAGGGTTACAAGGCATTGCGACGTCAAGTCAAATATAATTTTTAATTTAATTTAATTTTTTTAAACCTATTCCTTTGTATATATATATATATATGATAAAAATTGTTTCTTGGGCATCCATCCAGTAATTAAAACAATATAAAAAAAATATAAATTAATAATAAATAAACAATATAAAAAATAATAAAAATATTTTTTTATATTGTTTTAATTTGTAACCCTGATATATTTATTTGTAGCACTGAAGATGGGTCAAATCTGGACCCGAAACGTATGTTCTCTTAATTAAAACATTTTGCATTAAAACTGTTTTTTTAATTATTGGATGGATGCCCAAGAAACAATTTTTATCATATTATTTCACCATCTGAAGAAAAACCTCTCGCTTTATATATATATATATATAGAACATTTTTTTATATTTTTAAATGCGTAAGCGCGCTTATTTACATCTTTTAAAATTAAAACCCGTCTTTTATATGGTCTTGTTTGAATTTGATTGGAATTTGTTACGCAAAAAGTCTCGTGTTAAATAAATGGGAAAAAATCATATGTTTAGTTGTTCTGTGAAGGCGATCTATTCATAAAATCTGGTTATTATTTATTCATGTGATTAATGTATGCGACTTGCTGCATTTTAATTAGAAGCGCTTCAAAGCTAGAGATTGACGCTGTGATATCGCCTAGTAAAACTAGAAATTTAGTGAATGAATTTTGTGATAATTTTTGAATAGAGTATTTAAAATAATGACTAACTTCAGAGTACTATTTGTGATTTTATTAGTACAAGGATTAGAATTCTCCTTAGGTATGTATAAATTTTTCTGTTATTACTAACTTACAATTAGTAATATTTTGTTATTACTAACTTACAAATTATGCAAATATTTGTTTGAAAGATTTTAGTAGATAACCTTTTATGCATAATATTTTCTCTGAGATTACACCGTTTAAAATAATATATATTGAATTACTAATGATTTATTATATATATATATATATATATATGTATATAATATATATATATATATATATATATATATATATGTATATATATGTATATATATATATATATATATATATATATATATATATATATATATGTGTGTGTGCGTATAGAGGGTGCGCCAATTATATGTGGTCAAAGGAAATGTTGAGTAACTTGAAAAATTTTCAATAAATTTTGATAATTTCTTTTATTATCAAATTAAGAAAAAATAGTAAAGCTTTAAATTTGATAATGAATAAAAGTTTATTAAAATTAATTAAAAATTGTTCAAGTTATTCAACATTTCCACATATAAATATATTTAAGTATATATATTTCTATAAGTATTTATATAAGTATATATATTTATATAAATTCAAATTATTATAAGATAAAAAAAAACAAAAATTTGAAAACATTGTAAAAAAATTGAATAATTTGTAATGAGTTTTGTACTTGATCATTATTGATGAATAGTGAAGATAAATAAAATGATATAAATTTAAATTATTATAAAAAAGAAAGCTTAGATATTTGATGATATTTTCAAAGAGTTGCACAATTTCCAATTTCATTATAATTTTAAATTTTATATATAGTTTTAGAACTGACACAGAAAGATTCAATTGCCTCTGATTTGAGAATTATGGGTTTTAAAAATATTATTTCTATGTTTGTTATTACCTGCAAAATTAATGCAATTAACATTTAATATTTGCAAATTATTTACTTTAATACCTACTTTCAAGACATAGGTACTTTCAAACATATACGTGATTTTTATATTTAAAGTATGAAATCTTTCAATTAGTTTTATCGCTGATTTGACATTAATCATTATATTTATTTATTTATTTATTAATGAAGTCATTAGAACAAAAGAATCAAATTTGGACCCAAAATAGTTTTAAAAGTATCTAAATATTACTCACACTTTCTGATGATCTGATAATAAAAAGTAGAGCTTTCTGTTGCTATCAACAAATTCCAACTTTAATAATTTTGAAGGTAATTTGTTAGCAACTGGAATTATATGAGTAAAGTACGAGAACACTACGTTTTTTACACATTTTTACTATATTTTATACTATTCTAATAATATCCTATACAATCCAATTTACTTCAAAACTGATTTTTTCTTTTTTATCTTCTAACATTACTTTTTTAACTCCTAATTCTATTCTGTCTCAAATCAACAATTCGAATTCTATTTCAATCCAACAATACAAATGGTAATTATATGTCAGTGCCAGGACTCGAACCGAGTGTCTTTGACGTGTGAGTCGGGCACACTACTGACTGAGCTATTGCCGAATATTGCATAATTTCCACAAGTTGACTTAGTTATTTAGAAGTTCTAGAACGAGAAGATCCAATTTTTCCAAATTTCAATTTCAATCATGTTGATATTATTTTATTTTTAGCAACTAATTGCACATTGCCTAATGGTGAAGAAGGCGAATGCATAATTTCTACAAGTTGTCCTGGTTATTCAGAAATTCTAGAACGAGAAAATCTAACTACTAATGAACTAAATTTTCTTCGATTAGTCCAATGTGGTTATGAATTCGAAGAACCTGCTGTTTGCTGTTCTTTATCGGGGAAATACAAGTAAATAATAAAATATAACAATACATAATTATATATATGTAGGTAAATTAAATTACAATTCAAAGTCATTAAAGATAGTCAATAAGAATAAATATATCTTATTAGACTAAATACTGTTTTTTCAAGGCTTTGGGGAATTTTTCTCCAATAAGATACTCCAATCATATTTTTAGGTTTTGTTATTTAAATAAGATGGCCAATTTCTTGAAAGGTTAGGCCCAATAAAAATTATAAAACATTTTATTCAATTTTTTTTTCAGTGATACTAATATATCCATCAACACTACCAGTTCTTCAAAAAGAGATCCTTATGTAGATTTGGAACTTTCTGATAGAATTCAATCTGGTTTTTCTGCTCTGCCATCCTTTAGTGATTGTGGAATACAATATTATCAGCCTGATAGAATTATTGGTGGTGGAATTGTTACCAGTTTTGATGAATTTCCATGGATGGCTTTGCTGCAATATTCTAAGAGTATGTATTATTATAAGTGATATTGGATAATACACTCTTTAAAGAAAATATTGAAGCCTCTGATCAAGATCAAATGACTAACGATCAATTATTTTAATCTACCAAGGCCCTGAGGAATTCATGAATTACAACTAATTATTTCCACCTATTAATATCCTAAAAAAAATATAATTGATTTTCACTACTGAACTAAATAAGCAACTTCCACTATTGAAGTGAAATTCTTGAATTTGTTTTTATTCCTGAAAAAAAAAATGCCTAATTTTTCTTTGGTTATAAATATTGCTAGTAGTTATAATATTTATTACAAGTTGATTTTTCAATTTTTAGAAGGTGCTTTATGCGGTGGTGTTTTAATTGGCAAGAAACACGTTTTGACTGCAGCTCATTGTGTTACTGAACCATTACTATCAGTTTTAGGAACTTTGTAAGTGTTTCATATACTTAAATAAATATTGTTCTAAGTTTAAGAAAATCAAAGTTGATGAAAATACCGCAGAAAAGCTCATTATTATTGAGATGCAGTATTATCGAGAAATCTTTCTCAAACGAACACTGCGTACCTGTAAATTATTTCACCATTTTTTAAATATTATTAACCTTGTTCAGCTAATCAATAATTTTATTAGTTTTCTTTAGTTGGTAAGCATTGTTTAAACATACACGTTAAAATACATAATTCATATTACTATTGATATTTTAGAACCCATGTCCGATTAGGAGAGTACGACATTACAACTGATCAAGATTGTGACTCTTTTACCCAAGAATGTGCAGACCTTCCTCAAGATTTAAAAGTAGAAAAGGTCTTTGTGCATCCTGAATTTAACTCTGCAATGAAAAATCAACATCATGACATAGCTGTAATCAAATTAACACAGGAAGCACGTTATAATTGTAAATATTTTATGACAAAACAATTCAACAAAAATTAATAATACATATTAAATTTGCTTTGGCTTGTAGATTTTGTGCAGCCTATTTGTCTACCTGTTCCTGATCATCGGGATCTAGATAAAATGGAAGGACGAAGCTTATTTGTATCTGGTTGGGGTTTAACTGAAAAAAGTTAGTAAATTTTTAAATGATGTTTGTAACTAGATGCTATTAATTTATTTGTTAAATTTTTAATTTGTAGGTATACCGAGTCCTATAAAAATGAAACTCAAAGTTCCAGTGGTATCACCGAATGCTTGCGGCATGCAATATAAGAACTTCAAAATTCAGGTGCAAATTTTACTTTTTAATCGAATTAGATACTCAATACACCATTTAAAGTTAATAAGAAATCTTTAAACTAATCATTTTATCTATATCTTTCGATTATTAACTATTTATCAATTTATTGTTTATTCATCAATTATTTAATTCCTTTAGCAGATAACTGTTTCTGATAATATCAAATGATCTACATGTATTTAGAATTAAATGAGTATGAAGCATATGCAAGAAACATTAATATTGATATCTGAGAACTACAATTATTTGTCTGTTTCAATGCTCATGTTATGTTTTATATGATTTGAGAGAATTTAGTGAAATTTGCTTCTTTATTTTATTTTAAACAAAATTATTAAAAAACCGATTGCATTACTACAGGAAAGCCAAAGGTGCTTAAACAGTTATTCTTAAAGTTCAAAAAATTTAAATCTTCTCATAATTTCGATGGGGATTTTCTTTAGGGATTCTCGACGGTTCAAGAAAATATTATTAAATTCGTTTGTCTCTAATTACTCGTTTATTGTCTCTAATTACACTTTCTATATATCACTATTTATCTCTCACAATATATAAACTACTCACACAATATGCATTATTCTTTTGTGATTTTATTCATATGTTATGCTTTTTACGTCAACAATATATAACATAAATCTAATGGGTACATTATCCAAAAACAGTTCTGTATGAGTACACCACATTTTCTACATTGTTTATAAATCATTTATACTTTACTTCTTACTATACTATAAATATAAATTTCTACTTTGTGAGCCTAATTTTCCTATTCTTTTTATTTTTTTTTATCAACTATTTTCTTTTTTCGTCAGTTTTTTTATTATTTCTTCGATGTCGTTTTGCAGAAGCCAATGACCCAATTATGACCTAATTTATTTTCTACTGATAATAATATTCATTATATATCTAGCATAAATGGAAAGTAATATAATAGTTTATTTATAAAATAAATACATGTATCTATTATATAATTATTTTCCAGTTGACCCCCAACCAAATATGTGCCGGTGGTGAGGTGCGTAAAGGAACCACTTCTGGTGACAGTGGTGGACCCTTGATGGCATATGATAAATATGCAGACCAATGGTTTTGTGTGGGAGTTGTTTCTTTAGGACTTAAAAAAATTGGCAATGTAGGTATTCCAGGTGTTTATACGAAGGTGTACGATTATCTAGATTGGATTAGAGAATCCGCTAATAAGTGATAACTGATAGTGATCTACTTAAGTAAGTGGCGCATTTAAATTAAATCAGGTAATTAGAGTGATTAAGTTAAATATGAATTGAGTTTAAAATTATTATTGAATGTTATTTAATTATATGTAGTTATTTAATAAAACATATTTATTATGAATTCAACTTGAGCAAAGTTTATAATATGTAGACGCATGACGCTTAGCAAGTCGTAGGAGCTATTGCCATAGAAAAGAATTAAAAATTGAAATATATCTATTTATTTTTACATGTATATATGCAAATATTACAATTTTCCACTTTAAAAAGACATTCAATTTCTACTAACAATTTGTGGAACGTATGGGTTGTTGGTGAAGGCTTTGACGGTATTGTAGAATAAATCTAAAATCTCTGATGAGTAGTAGGTACATAGAATCTGCATACAATATTTTTACATTCTTCGTAGACCTAAATCATATACACATATTTGTTTGCTAAGTTTTGGGTTTAGATAGAAACATTGTAATTGAAATAATTAATTATCTTATATTCGTTAATTTAGCTAATTTAGTTCGAACTGATTGTATTGAGTATCGAAATGATTGTATTGAGTCTTTGCGGTAAACTGTTTCACCCAGGCGTATAATGCTGCATAATATTAATTTATTGCTTCAATTGTTTTTTAATAATTCATATATATGCGCTGCCTTGTTTCGACAGAGTCGAGCTTCCGCTCTGGACAACCTGATATCGTGCAGTAGCGATGTCAATTTTTACTTGGAAATATAGATCAGAAATATGTTTCCAATTGAAAATAGTTAGAGTTTGATGGCGTCCATTAATCACATAATCGATTTTTTGAGGATTTTTGGATCCCCCTTTCTCCTTGGTGATACGTAGTAATATTCAAAATTACTCCCCCTCCCTCACCAAACATTACGTGTATTTCTAGTTACGAAAAAAAATTATGATTTTTATTTTTTTAAATTTTCAAAATTAATTTTGATTTTTTTTAATGTTTGAATCTTTTTTAAATAATTCAGGTAAAAAATAAAAACACGTAATATCTTAATATACCCTTCTTAACCCCAAGTGATCTTTCGCAATTTTTTGTTTTTTATTGGACGCCCTCTCACGGATCTGCACTAGGTTAACTATTATATGTGGGCTTATAAAAGGGACCAAAATTTTACCTAAAAAATTGAGGAGTAATAAACAACTAACACATGTTCTATTGATATTTGAACTCTAAAATATTCCAAAGAGTAGAATACAATTTATTTTTAAATTAGTAAAATCTCTATTAAAGAAAGTTGTAATATTATGTACCGAAATGTGATGTTACTTTTTTTTTATTAATGGCATTGCTGTTCAAACTCTCATTGTTATTATGATTGCAAAACGTTTTTCGGTTATTTTGGGTAAAAGAATATATTCATTCTTTTTCTTTAGTTGTTTTCTATTTCAAATTATTTGATGAGACGTTTGCTTTTTTCTCAACTCTTCAGGCGCAATTTTTCTAATTAATAATATTATTTACATTGCTTGAGGTTATCTCCAAGACCATCTCAGTAGTAAATTTATAATAATATGCAAACACCATTTATATTTTTAAGCAGCAATTTTATAATCTATCAAATATTTATTACGTAATTACTGTTTGTATAATGTTGCATAAATATTGGATTTTCTATCGATTACTGAACCATTCTATAAACTTAATTATGATGAACGCTATTAACATATTATAAAAATACCATTTTTTTAATTGATATGATTTTTTATATATACGTAATCCAATTTTGCAGATGGGTATTTCCAAGTGTAAAATATTTTTCTGAACCAAGTGTTAGAACACGCATAATTTGTTATTTTAATTTAGTTTGATGTGTTAATCTACGTCGAGAACATAACATTAAATCGATTTTAATTTTATATTAATATTCATGATAGTTACACATGTGTGATAAATTTAAATTTATTAGAAGAAAGCGAAATTCCTTAACGACCAATTATGTCTAAATATAGTGACAATAGATAAGAATAGATATCAAAAGGTTATATTAAAATTATATGTAAAATTAAGTAAATGATCAACATATCTTGTTAGCATTATGATAAAGTAAAATATATAATCAAACTAGGTGTAAGTGGCATTTTGTCTTAAGGCAAGTTGAACGAACTTCCTTATATTTGTAAAAATAATCGATTTAATCAACAAAAATCTGATTTTCATGTGATCTACCTGTCTAACAGTATAGTTGTTTAATTCTCCAACTGTCTACCTGCCCAGTGACTGTATGTCTAAGTATTATCATCCTGTTTAAGTTTCAACTTGTCTAATTTGTGCTGGCCCACCTCTCCACTTGTTTACCTGCCAACTTCTCTACCTATATACCTGTCTTCCTGCTTACAAGAGGCCTTGGCTACCACTATCTGCTTACTAGTTGACCTAGTCTATCTGTCTATCTTCCTACTGGTCTACTTGTCTACCTGTCTACCTGTCTACCTGCATCTGCGTCAATAGTTCAACATGTATATAAATCAATAATATTGATCTGAAATGATCAAATATATCTCCCTAATGGCAGGACCTGTCTTTGCAAAGAAGATTCTTTGAAGTCGTGGATGCAAAAATTGTAACCATACAAAACACATATGTTTAAGTTTTGGACACACAAACAAATACACATACATCCACGTTTTCAAAAGAATGCCATAATCTTCAAAATCTTTTGAAATGTAAAAATATGCAAAAAAAATTATTTTTGATTTTTTACGATTATTATAGCTTCTTTGTGGAACAATAAACTTATTAGATCTTTTATTAAAACTCTTCTGTAAAATAAGTGCATCTGCAATAATCAAAATGAGGATGAGAAAATGTAATTGATTTATCAAAATGTTTTAAAAATTAATGAATATGTTTATATATAATGGTTTTGATTAAAATCGCTCATTACCCTTGAAATAAAAGACCTTTATTTAAGGCAAATCGCGCCTTATGTAGTTTTCTATATTATACAGGGATATACTTGACATAATTAACCTTTAGATAAAACAACGTATTTACTGTTAATCAAACAGAAAAGTCATAATTACAATGAAATTTTATACAAAAAATGATAAAGTTTATTTAATTGGGTTGATTCTCCAGCCTCATTTATGATAATTTATCACATAAAATGATTGACCAATACTCTTATTTTTCTTTTTTGTGATATTATGTGACAAATATAACATACACAATTAAATTTATATAGTTTGGGATAAAATAGCAATTAATTAATAATAAAAGTGGCTAAATTTTTATGATAATAAGTTTATTTAATAAAAAAATTGCTTTAAAAGTGTACCAATTTCATGAAAATGCTCCTTGGGAGCATCCAAGAGAATGCCATGATTGCCATGCCAAAATTTATGAAATATTCATTTATTTGTACTCTGAAAATAAAGATTAAATATTAGGTAACCATTTTGCTTCAATGAGATAAAATTGATAATAAAACATATAATTTCTAACAGTCTATAAATTTTGACAATCGATGCACGCGTGCGGTAACAAACTGGAAGAACAACTTTTATCCCAATATTTTATTTGCACTTGCAGTCCAGTGACGTACATTTTTTTTAAATCTATAAAATTAAATACATATATATATATATATATATATATATCTAAGTATTAGAAATTCCATTCCTTAAATATAATTTTTAATTAAATTTAAATAAAATTACCAAATGAGTTTTAAAAAAAAGCCTCATTAATTATTATTTTTTATCTAATAATAATTCAAACTGCCTTTTGATAATTTGAAAATTAAATTGCTAATTTATATGTAGTTTTAACCAGTGTTAGGTTTGAAAACATATTAAATTTATTTTACTTCTCAAGTTCATAATATGATTTGCAAGTTATGTATTAATAGCATAGAACCACTTTAATTAATGCTAAAGAAATTTTGCATATTACATTTAAATATCAAATTTTGTTTATAATTAATAGAAATTTAAATGCATTTGAGTTTAAGTACGTATTTTTACATATATGTGCAATCAGGTTTTGATAACTTGAATTGAACTATGGTAATTATAGTATGATATCTATGCACGTATCAATTTAGAATTTTAATAACATTGCATGTGTTAAAAATATTATTGAATAACACTAATATAAAAGAGGCAAGAATTATTTTGTTGTTGATGTTTTTATAAGATGGCTTGGTTTAGATTAAAATTATTACAAGTCATTTTGTTTACAATTATGTAACTTCTTCTAAATTATAAATAACTAGAAAAATTAAATACTTTCGATAAACTGAATCATTTATAGTCAATATTTAAAATGAATTAATTTAGCAAATTTATAGACCAAAACTAGCAAACGCTATTTGCATTCGAAGAATAATTGGATTAATAGACTATTTAACACCATGAGTAAGTACTGAAACTTAAACATTAGATTTAGAATATAATTGTTGATTACATATTATGGCTAATTAAAGAAATCCTTGACTATGTCATTTGTCATCACAGCAAAGACATAGAGGCCGATTCTGCCGTAAAATGGACCAATTTTACGTAGGGGCTATGTTTCGTAGTGCATTTCATACAAAATGGTACTAATGGTTATTTTTCACTAAATACTGGCAAAATGCTATGCATTTGCTGTGCCGTCAGGCGTTTCACACCTAAAATGCAACTTAACTCATATGTTATTATATTGCATCAGATAGATGTAATTATGATAACATAGTTCTTTTCGACATTTGTGCGTTTTGCAGGTCTATCTGAAACCACATGGCATTTTGACAGTATTTAGTACTATTTTGTATGAGAGGCGCTACGTAACATAGCCTTGCCATAACCATGATCTATTTTACCGTAGACTCGGCACAATAGATTTTTAATAATTTGTGACTACTAACTCACGCGATTTTTCAATAAAAAATACCGATAACATAAAAATACTATTTTATTTGAGAATTCACCCAAAGAGTGTACTTAAAACCAAAGCAGAAAGAAACCTAGTCATTTGATGGGCTTGCGATAGAAATAATCGAAAAGTATTAGTAGCACGGATAAGATTGCTAACAATTAGGAATGATATGAGGCATTATATTACAAAGTCTGGTCTCGCCCGTAGGTAAGCGGTTAAGGGCGGAGGGACTTGTTTCAGAGGTCCCGGGTTCAAAACCCACTTCGAGCAGCCTGTTGTCAGGCAACAGTGACAACGATTTTCACTTGGAAATATAAATAGCAATATGTTTCCAAGTGAAAATAGCCCTCACCCGGCACTGTTGCACCATACGTGCCATATTACAGAGATTGTAATAAAAATTTATCATACAGAGATGTGACAACTGTTTAGGTTGCCATCTGTAATAAAACAAACGTAGTTTGTAGGATATTAATCACAACAGCTCATAGAACCCATAAGTACTGATCGCTGATCAAATAAAATTATAAAAAAAAAATTACAAATTCTATCATAATATTAACCCCCAAAGAACATAAACATCAAATGATAGTATTACCATGAGTGATAACAAATTATTGCAATGCGCGAAGTCAAGCTAATGTTAGTTTTGATGTTTGTGCCATCTGGAGGTTAGTATTTAGAAGTTAATATAGTGCAAATCGCTTCATTGAGCAGTAGACGCAGTAGATGCTTCGAACTACCAACTTATTTGATTTCTCAATAAAAAAGACTGATGACATAAAATTACTATTTTATCAGAGAAGCGTACTAAAAATCAAAGCAGGAAACACCTAGGTATCTCATTGGTTATAAGGAATTTCCAACAGTTCACCTTTTCCTCAACTTTGAGAACGAGCCAGTCGAAAAATATTAGTAGCATGGACAAGTTTGCTAGCAATTATCATTATTATGTGGCATTATACATATTACAAAAACTATCTTGATCAATTATAAAATCTACGTCAATGCCATCGGTTTACACAACAAAACGAATGTTCGCAGTTTCCAATGCCGGCACATTGTAACAAACATAACCTCTGTGTGAAGCACATACGGAGGTATCGCTTATTGCACGCCGAGTAAGTAGTCGTCAGACTGTTTTGCGATATGAGGAGACAAATACCTCGTTCTTGGACATTAAGTAGTATCCAAAATACAGTTATATTATAAATTTTATTCAGTGACAACATTAGTGTGTAAATTGAGTGTGTACAAAGTATTGGAAATTATAATTTCTATTCTATCCTCAGTGCAATGTCTATAGTGTTATATGGTTTGGTTTCTTTGTGCGCATATGTTGCTTCAGTCACAGGTAAGTACTGGCTATTTAATGTCAGGGCAATTATCGTGATTTGCACGTGTCTTACTTTATGATTAATTTAAATAAAATTTAAAAATATTTTTTTATATACGGATATGGTAATACATTGCCAATATTTGTGTGAATCCATTTTCTTTCCTTATATATGTTAGAGATGTTAATTTTGATGTTTAGGTATGTGAATGAGTTTTTCTAAGACCATATATCAACTAAAAAGCAAAGATTTATTAATTATTCTTTAATTTTCTAACATCATTATTGGATATTAGACTTGGTGTCTTACATCATTGGATATTAGACTTGGTGTCTTACATCAATAATTGTGTACAAAGCACAATAAAACTAGTGATGTATGGCATCGTGCCTTGAGGCAAATTGCTAGAACTTCCCGCACCGTAATAAAATACGAGGAATATTCAATGTTTTCAAATAGATTATTATAAATGCTGTAACAGATATGTTTACAGAAAAGTAAATAAACAAAATTTAATCAATCGGATTTAAAATGAAGGACTTTGTCTAATATTTATAAGAAATATATAAACTGAATTGAAAAGTTAAAATTATTTATTTTAAGGATCTAAGTGAGCTTTAGAATTAGAATTAAAATACAAATTATTTTTGACATTCAAAACGTCTCGAAACGTTTGTGAAAATTATTATTTATTAAATTAGTGCAAAAAAAAAGTTGTTTGATCATATTTCCAAATTAATATCTATTATCCACTCAGAATACATTCGACATATATATATATATATATATATTTAAATGTTTTCCCAAAAGCAATCGTTTCGTCAACATAAGCTGAAAGTTTTTGGAATCATTCAAATCGGATGTTTAGTTCTCTCAACTGCCATTTTTTGCATATATAGCTTGGTATTTCTGAATCGTCTGGACCTGCCTTTTCCCAAAACTAATCATGACTTCTCCCCGTCATTACGAATTGAATATATTTTTGTTCATTCAAATCCAATGCTTGGTTCTCTCAAAATCTTGATTTCTATTTTCTGCAAACTTTGCAGAAATCTCTGCGAAATGGCTGGACTTGCCTTTGCCAAAAACTAATCAGCACATCTCCCTATCAATAGGAATCGAATGTTTTTTGAACTATTCAAATCGCCGTTTATTCGTGCGCCCGAAAACGTGAACAAAAAATTGTATCCATACATACATACACATACACATCGATTTTTTCTGAGGTTCTGAAAATGCTCAGAAACCTTCAAAACGTGAAGAAATGCAAAAATTTTCAGTTTCCAATTTTGGACGATTACAATAACATACTCTGCTGGAAGTTAAAAAATAAATTTCATCAAACAAAAAAATCTTCATTAATGACAAGCAAGTGTATAAATTTTAGTGCTAACTTATGTGTTTTGTGCACATTTATTGAATTGACACCAAGTCAATTATTCACTGAAGATGACATAAAATTTTATTTCGAAACGTACAAACCTAGTAATATTTTTTATATTTATATAGATATTTATTTAATTTATAAATATGGTAATGATTTGAATTATCATATGAAAGAGATCAGATGTATTAGAAAGACGTTTATAAATCTAAAATTGCAGATTATATATTAATAATCAAGATTCGATACTATTTTCTAGGTCAATATTATTTTTCACACATTAATACTTTTAATTACTTCTAATTTCTATGATTTTCTTTCAAAACATATTTTTTACTACCAAATATTTTCATAAATTCTGCTATAAAATATAATCACTAAATTATTTTATTTTTTTCAACATATAATTAAAATACTTAGAATTATTTATTTGTATATCAAAGACAAATGATAAATAGAATTTATTAATAGATCTCACGTTCGATCAATTAATTGTTTTAATATAAACACAAAGAATTACATGAGACGAGTCGCTTCAGTTCACCAGAAATTAATACATTTCTTAGTATTTTCGTATTGTAAACAAATTATTGATAACTTATGCAAATGACATGTACTTTGCTTTAATTGCCATATTTTTCATTATTACGTTTGATAGTAAAAAATTAATCACAACATTGGTTTGATTACAACTTACTATTTATAAATTCAGATTTGGAACATATTATCAAGTATCAAAAATGTTAATGTTTGTTTTATATTAAAAACTGATATATATATATATATATATATATATATATATCCTTATATATTTATATATACTAGATGTACCCGATTATGTGTTGCTATAATAAGTTTACATGTAGGACGTAGGTGTACAATTTCTTAAGTATGTGTTATTTATGAAGTTCATTGATATTTGCAAACAATATTTGATTTTTAAGTCAACGACTTTAATAATGTAAATATTAACAAAAAATTGTAGAATTTATCATAATTACCATGTATCTGCCTATGGCCAAGTATTATTATTATTATAAATGAATCGATTTTGTTTTTTGTCCAAATTCGTAATGTTTTTCCTCTAATAGTGCAGATAATTAATTACTCCTAATCGGGTAAAAACCTGTATATAATTACTAAACAATATAAAAAATAATTAATGTATTTTGAACTTGACCGAATCAAAGACCTAAACTTAAAGTAAGGTGTTCATTATCTTACGGAATTTCCAAGAACGATATCATTTGGTTTTCTAGCATAATTTGCAATTTAAATAATTTAAAAGGCAAAACGCTATAGATATTTCAAATGTAAATTGTGTAAATATGATATACTAATTATATAGTATAATCGAAGAATGAATGTAGACTTGAAAAATCATTTGTAACGCTCTTTGTGATATTTAAATTATTATGAAAAACTACTGGGTTGTTAAAATGAACTGGCATTTACAATTTATTATTATGTAATACTCTATTTTAATAAGAAAAACATTAACTATAATTGATAATAATAAAGTTTATGAATTAGCAATAGATATATTGTTTCTAAAAATCTAAAAAGATTGGTACAATTTTGTATTAGAAGTGCATTAGCAACTATTTCAAAAAAAATCCTTTAAATTTCATTTATGATTCACGCGAACAATAATTATTCACATTTGTTAATTGAATCATTAATGAAAAAAATGTGCGCAGTTATACAATGTGTTGTTGTTTAAATAATTACAGTTGATGTCATTATATAAGCAATTTATTTTTTCTTTATGTTTCCTGATGAATTAGTATCTTATCAAAATATCTTTTTGTGTGAAGGACGTTGTATTATTACTCATAATTGTATATTTTAAACACAATAATATTTTTTGTCAAATTTAAAATAAAGTCTTTGATTTTTTCTCAAGTATTAAATACCAACAAAATTAGTTACGAGAGATTTCTGAACATTTTAGCATACCTTAGAAAAAATGTGTGTATGTGTGTGTGTGCTCGGATACAAATTTTCGTCAACAATTTCGGGAATACGGTTCAATCGATTTGAATGATTCAAAAAACATTCGATTCTCATTGATAAGTGGACGTGCTGATTAGTTTTTAGAGAATAGGTCCAGCCGTTTCGAATATTGAATCTCGCTAATCCGACTCATTTGTAGTCTGACACCTCTCATAATCTGACACTCCCAGCGATTGAAGCAATTGACAATTTTTTGGGAATATATTGAAGATTTTTTCGATATTCCCAATATTTTGTGACTTTTCACTATAATCCAGTAATCCAAACATTCCACTTATCCGACACCCCCTGGTTTTAAATAGCGTCGGATTAGCGAGATATTATTGTTTATGTATATGTAAGAGAACGATAAACGTATTTATCCATTTATCAATAATTAAATCAAACTATATATATTCAGGCAACGACTCATAAAAGATTGCGTTTAAGGGAATATCATCGCTTCTTTTCTTAAATTTCAACATTACTGATATTAAAAGAAGCTTATGTAAAAGCGACGTGTAATCAACATATTTTTTTTTCTAATTTTTTGCAAAATTAAAAAATGTGAGAAAACGAATACATATAAAATGTGCTAATGAAAATTGTGTCCTGACTAAATTCGCCAATCCTAAATTTAATCACATATTGTTTCATGTGTTTTATTCTTCTCTATTTTTTAAACTGATCAGTTTTCTATTGGAATTAAAAGAAGCTTACGAAAAAGCGACGTATAATTAACATAAATTATTAACTTCCCGAAGGAGAAATTTATGTTTTCATAAAAAAACCCGACTCGCCAATTTTATGTTTTATCGACGTTTCAAGCCATTCTGAATCGAATGAGACCAAAATTGGAAAAAGTATGTGTGTGTGAACAGATTTTTATAGACTTGTAGATCATACAAAAATATTACGGCCCTACGACAAGTCGTTTAATTTTAAAAATTCTTCAAAGTTTGCAAAAACTAATATCGTTTTTTGGCAAAGTTATCAAAAATTAGACCTTTGATCGACGTTTTCTCAAAAACGCCTGGAACGATTTCAGAAATTTAAAAGCCATTTGATGTATCTCGATGAGGACTATAGTTTGTCAGTTTTGTGAGACGATCTGTCGAGCCGTTTCTTTTTAATTTCAAAAAAAGTGTTAAACTTTTCGACCACATTTAAGCTCAAACTACCGAATCGATTTTAAAAAAATCAAGAACTGTTCGAAATATATTAGTTGGGAATGATACTGATTAGTTAGGTGAAAATCTACTGATTAGTTTTAGGTGAAAATCTACCGAGCCGTTTTCTGGTAATTAACTGTTGAAAAAAAAAATTAAGCCGATTTTTATGGAACTTTTTTGGCAATATATATCATTGTCTTATAGAACTTACTGAAATATTACGGCCTTACGACAAGTAGTTCAATTTTAAAAAATCATCAAAGTTAGAGAAAATGAGTAGTTCTTTTGACATTTGTTAAAATTAAAATTAAACGATTTACTGGGTTTAACGATAGAGGACTTGGTCTCAATGCACATACTAAACTATTAAAGTCCTACGAAAACTGGTTCAATTATAAAAATAATTGATTTTTGAAAACTTGCTTTTAAAAAATACTCCGAGTTAACGTGTTCGTATTCAATTATATGTAATAAATCCACTCGTAATACTTTTAATCACTCATAAATTAATTTATTTTTTTATTAAGTCGATTATTTACACATATCGGAAATTTCATGTAACTTGCCTCAAGGCAAAATACCAATAACAACTAGTTTATTTCTAATTTTTAGCAAAATTAAAAAATAAGTAGGAAATGAATACATAGAAATTACAATGAAAAATTATGGCCTGACTAAATTTGCAATTCATAAATATAATCACATATTGTTTCATTCTTATCTATTATTCAAACTGATCAGTTTTCTATTTCCCATTCAGGTTCGGAAATAATATGCGACACACCAGGCGGCGAGGCTGGAAAATGTGTGACATCGTCGACTTGTCCTGGTTACCAGGAGGCCCTGCAGACTCGTCCGCTGACCGACGAGACGATCAACTTTCTTCGCCTAGCCCAGTGCGGATACGCGGCCAATGAGTCGATGGTTTGCTGCCCCAGTTCTGGACAATATAGGTTACTGTCACCTAACATACTCCTTTCCTTTTTATGCGATAATATATATTATAGATTTTGCCTTAGTTTAATAATTTTTTATGGTGTTTTCGATAGAATTGAATAGAAATTCAGTGCCAAGGTTAAAGTTTGTGGTTTCTGAATAATTTTAACCTTCTATGGGCCCGCATAACTTTTAGGTCATATTCCAAGTTTTTTGCTATTTTATCGAATAAATATGTCTTTTATCGTGAGATAACGTACAAATCTTAATTCTATAACGTAGTCAAGACAATTATTATTAACCAATTATCTATCAATATTTATGATCTTTGTTAGGATTTTAAACCTGAAATAACTCGATCGTCACGTAATTTATTAATTCGGTAATAAACAAAAATTGGTTCAAACAGAGTTTTTTGTTTTTCATTTGCTCAATACTCACTGATTTTTTGGTCCCATAAAATTTTTTGGTGTAAAACAAAAATTCGGTCAATGATGGTTAAGTGAATTTTTCACCATGATTGGGTGAAATGGATAAATATTTACAAAATATAATTGCGTTCATACATTTTGTTCAGTATTTGTATCACATTCCAGATTGGATGAATATTTGTAAAATAAATGGATTTAAACTAACATAACTATAATAATTAATTTCTCTAAGGAGAAGCTTATGTTTTCATAAAAAAACCGACTCGCTAATTTTATGTTTTCTCGACGTTTCAAACCATTCTTAATCGAATGAGACCAAATTTGGAAAAAGTATGTGTGTGTGTGCGTGTGTGTGAACAGATTTTTTGCCGTAAATCGACGTTTTCTCAAATATGGCTGGATCGATTTCAAAAATTTAAAAGCCATTCGATGTATCTCGATGAGGAGTAGAGTTTCTGAGTCTTGTGCGACGATCGGCCGGGCCGTTTTTTGTAAATCGCAGAAAAGTGAAAAAATTCACGTGTACGTTTTAGCCCGCAACTTTGTATTGGGAATTGAATTGGGAATCGTGCTGATTAGTTTTTAGTAAAGATCGGCCGGGCCGTTTTCTTGTAATGATTTATTTTCTGATTTTTTTTGACGGTATTTACCATAGTTTTAGAGCCATTTAATGTATCTCAATTTAATTTAAAAGCCATTTGATGTATCTCAATGAGGACTATAGTTTGTCAGTTTTGTGAGACGATCTGCCGAGCCGTTTCTTTGTAATTTGAAAAAAAGTATTAAACTTTACGTCCACATTTAAGCTCATACTACCAAATCGATTGTAAAAAATCAAAAACTGTTCGAAAGATATTAGTAGGGAATGATTAGTTTTAGATAAAAATCTACCGAGCCGTTTTCTTGTAATTAATTGTTGAAAACAAAATTTGAGCCGATTTTCATGGAACTTTTTTGGCGATATATATCATGGTCTTATAGAACTTACTGAAATATTTAGTAGTTTGATAGTAATTTGTGAAAATAGTAGTTTAATTTTTAAAATTCATCAACGTTTGAGAAAATCAGTAGTTTTCTTGACGTTTGTTAAAATTAAAATTAGACGAATTACTTGGTATAACGATAGAGTACTTGGTCTTAATTAACATACTAAACCATTAAAGTCCTACGAAAACTGGTTCAATTATAAAAATTATTGATTTGCGAAAATTTGCTTTCAGAAAATACTCCGAGTTAACGTGTTCGCTCGATTTCAATTATGTGTAATAAATCCACTCGGAATACATTTAATCACTTATAAATTAATTTATTCTTTATTAATTAAGTCGATTATTTACACATGTCGGGAAGTTCATGTAACTTGCCTCAAGGCAAAATACCAATACCAACTAGTATATACATGGAATCCTAAATTGTCTTAAATTTTAAAAAATTAAATGTAAGGCATATGTATATTTTTGATGTAGATTATTATTCGACATTTATATGTGCTTTGGCATTTGTAAACAATTCTGTATCTGAATAGTATAATGCCTAAGGCATTTAATCTAGTTGTGAAAGCTTAAATTAAACTTAAATTAATCGTTTAGTATGATGGAAAGAAATCATTATTAATTAGTACTAATTATTATTAGTGATGTGATTCAATACTGACTTCATCTGCCTCTTTTATTTATTTAAATTTATATTATTATTTATCAATATTACTTGATGCTAATAAATTAGCAGTTGTAATAATTATTGAAATTAAAAAAAAAAAAAAAAATCTGCCATTTTTAAAACAGCTACATTTTTATTAGGCTTGTAATTTAGTGAATACGTCGATAAAATGATAATAAAAACGTTGAAAATTGAAAGTGATATTTTGTCAATAATGAATTACATTATTTTGAAACACATTATTAAAAAATATAAGAGTGATGATGTATTACAAAAGAACAATTTCGGTTTGGTTTTGGAGAAGCTAAATCTCGGATTATTTCTGATTATTTTTTTTTCAAAACTAAACTATTTTGTAAATATTAAAAAAAATCTAAACCTTTGAAGCAATTTTTGTAAAAACTGATTTTTTTTAATAATAATCATAATAGTTGCTGTCAAAAATATAAAAACTATAGTATTCTCTAATTTACATATATTGTTATGGATAACAATTGATGAAATGATGATTAATATAACAAAATATTTTTTCGATTTTAATATAATATGTAGTATGAATATATACGCAAAGTAGTTATTGTGTTTCTTTATTTACTGATTATTTGTCTAACCTTTTGTTACATATGTTTTAATAATTATTTGTCGAAAATACTTTGAATGTTAATGTATTTAATAATTATTTTTAACTTCAAATTTTTAATGTTACTGTATTTATACTTTGAACAGGAATCTAACTTTATCTTTGACGGAAGAGCCAAAAAAGCGTCGAGTGAGGCCAGATAGAAACAATTCCAGTCCAGAAATTGGAGACAGATTTGGAGAATCAAATGTGTTACCATCAAAAGATATCTGCGGAAAACAATTTGCAAATAACAGAATTTTTGATGGTGAAATCACAGGAATCGACGAGTTTCCGTGGATGGCTTTGTTGGATTACAAAAACAGTGAGTGAATAAAACTATAATTATATTAAAACAAATCGTTGTTGATTTCATTTTTGGTATTAATCATAATTATAGTCTACAACATTTTAATCACATTTCAAGAATAAGATATATATAATATAAGAAATCTATACACTAACATTAGGCCCCATTAGAACTACCGAAAATGTTTTTATATTATTATGATTACAACTAATCCATTTCAGGATTTTGGGAATTAGTTCGTAGAAGGCGTTTCGAGTTGTGTACGTTATCACTATATCGCATGAGAAAAACTAATATATATTCTTTATAGACCATTACACCTAGAATTGTTATTAATATTATGTGTTTTGACATTGTTAACTATACATAAGCACGAATCGTTTTTTTCGGGTTGTAATTATTATGTTACAACGAAATCCGCCTATCTTTGATTATTGTGTCAGGAGTGTGCTCCTTTTTCTTTAATGGTTACTAATAGATAGATATTTATTAAAATGATTTTATATTAATAGCTTTGATTCGAATTCATATAATAATAACAATTTTGCAATAAACATTTGCAATTATTAAAAACAAATTTATTATAGCAGTCATGATTGGCTAGTTCATTAGAATACAAATCAAAATCTATTTGTAATAATATAATTATGATTTATAATTTAATTAAATGCATGTTGAATTTTAACTTAATGCATATTGAATAAAATTCAATCAAACTATAATAGAAGAAATAAAATTTGCTTGGACCCTTCCTTATCCAAAACTGTCATGTGTGAATTTAAATTTTCTCATTTGGAAATATTATGTAAATGTAAATATTATGTAAAATATTTAAACAAACCATTTTCAAGTATAAACTATAAATTATTATTTGATGTTTACTTATTTAATTTTTTTTTTTCAAATAATTATTAAAAGTCCAAGGGTAAAAAGGACCACCACCGGAATTTCAATAAGTGAAGTTAAGAATTTTTTAACAACAATATTTGAAAGTAAAGGGAAAAAATGTATAACCAGCCATCACTTTGTTCATGACAAATGTATTTTCTTCTGTTGGTATTTTTTTGGTTGTGAGCACTGTTGTTTAGTTTACGAGATCTCAATATAATTTTTATAAGTATATGTTATTTATTTGTTTCATAAACTATATTGTTAATTTTAAGTTAGATTCAGCAGTTTTTTATATAACCTGTATAAAAACTCACACATGAGAGGGGTAAAAAGGACCAACTTTAACTGGCAAATGTGTGAACATCAAAAAATAGTATATATAAAAGTAAATTAAGTTAAAAAAATCAACGTTTTATTTATTTATTATTAAATTAAAAGTTAAAATTTTTTGCAAGAAATTAGTTAAATAAATAGTTATTTAACTCTGCTGATAATTATTTCTAACGAAATATTCGATCAAGGTTATATACACTATTTGTTATTTCTGTGAAAAATGTACCCTCGAAATTTATATTTTACATTGGTTGAATAATGCAGCTATTATTTCGTAAAATTGCTTAAAAATTAAAAATACGACATTGGACTTTTATTCGCCTATGGGGTAAAAAAGTTTTGGAAAACAACAAAAAACACATTTTTACTATGATGGATTAGCTGGGATTTTTCACTGTACATAGTCAGATATGTTTGATATGTGTTATTTGTTGTGATTGGTTTTCACGACATAATTAAGGCATTTTATTCAGATTAGTACACAATATATTATCAGAACGAATAGAAATAGAATGAAATTTATTTACAAGTTCACTTGTCTCTTTATGAGTTCAATGAATTGTAATGCACAATATGTTTTTGTGTAAATATATTTTCATTACAATTTGTGTATTTCATTTTTAATTAGATTTCAAACAAGAAAGAAACTAAAATTTATCATAATATTACGATCTTGAGACTTAGTTTGTTTTGTGTCTCAAGATCGCAAACACTCATTTTTTTATTCCAGTGATATTTATTCATAAAGAACAAACTTCACTTCAAATAAATTACTTCTATTTTATATGTGTATATTTATACATATAATTCTTTGCACGCCAAAAAATGTGCATTTAATAAAATCATTTCATTCATTTATCACTTTATATACAGAAGTTTAGAATTTCTTAAATTAGAACGATTTTTCATTTGATCACTTTTTTCTTTCAATTGATACATTGTAATATAATTTCATTATGATACAATTCAAATCAAATCAAATCAAATTACTATATTTATTTGCTATTATTTACTATCTTATAAACTATTTATTTTATTCTTCCAGAAAATTATAAGGGCCTGGGTTTTTACTGTGGAGGTGTGCTGATTAGTCAGAGATATGTTCTTACTGCTGCCCATTGCATAGCTGGGGAAAGTTATTCCAAATTTGGTGGTTTGTGAGTAAATTTTCGTATTTCCAACTTATAAATTTCAATGATTATTTATATAATGCAGGCGACATAATTTATTTGTTTTGAATAACTTTTAATTTAAATAAAACATTTAAATTATCATTTTTTAAAGATTACGTTTTCGTCTGATTCCGATTTGTTGTTTCGATGCTTTGTCAACGTTCCAAGTCATTCTGAATTGTTTGGCACTAAAATTGAAAAAAAAGTGTGCATATGCGTATAAATATGCGAGTGAAAATTGACCTTTAGTAGAATTGTCTATTTAAAATTCTTTTGTGTAAAATGCCACAAAAGATGATTATATACTCATAACGGACTCAATGCAACTTACATTAAGGCAAATTGCAACTTAGCTTTTATTTATGGTGTATATTGAAATTGTAAATCAAAGTGACATAAATTTTAGCAATGCATAAAAAAATAGTGCCAATCAATATAGATATGTCGTTTAATACTCCAAATCTAATAAAATTAATCAAGATTTAACACAATATTACTTAAATTCTACAAAAATAATTGTAAATTTTTGTGAGACGCAAAATGTTCATTTAGTATCAATAAAAAAATATCAATATTAAAATAAGAGTTATTAATCGGTGTTTGGATTATAAAAATAAAGATTTTAACATCACCTTCTTGTAATAGAGTTGGTGTCCGACTAGGCGAGTATAATACTGAGAGTGAATCCGATTGCATCCAGGAATTAGATTTTTACGACTGCGCTGATCCACCTCAAGATTTTGGGGTTGAAAAAATCATCCCCCATGATGCTTACAGGCCCGACACATCCGATCAGCATAACGATATTGCTTTGCTAAGGTTGGATAGAAATGTAGTATTTAGTGGTGAGTGAAATTTTTCATCTTGTCAAAAAAAAAAAAAAAATTACGGAAGCATTATCTCTATATCATATACTATTGACCTACAATATGTTAACCTAAATGTCGCTAGAAATTAAAAAAATTGCTATCTAAAAATCATAAAATCAATTATTATAATAACATATTCATATAATAATATATCGCAGTCATAAAAACTATTGAGTTCTATTCAGAATACAATTTTCGTTTAATATTTACATGGATAAAATGTATTAAGTATATCTTAATTTCTATTACAGATTTTATTCAGCCACTTTGTTTACCTTTACCAGAGTATTTTCCTAAATTAAACTTGGAACCTGGACGACCATTTGTGGTGGCCGGTTGGGGAAGGACAGAATTAGGTAAGTTTTAAAATTAACAATTTTCCACATTACTAATACAAAACAATGAACTAACTTCAATAAACTATGTATAAAAATATAAAATATAAAAAGCCTTTAAAACTTACCGATATAATTTTATTAATATATGATTATAATAAAATAAACTAATTATACTAAATAATAATACAGCTTTAGATGTTTTAAAATATTATTATGAAGTTATTCTATTCTTAATATATTTTCAATACCAAAATTTTATTTTTTTAGAACATATAGTAAAGAATGCTATAATTCTGAATTAAATAAAGCTAGTGTCGTATGATCAATAAAATCAAATCGATGAATTATTTATTGTTTCAAATTATTGAAATAGTTTAGCGGTTTAAAATGGTTTATTAATAGCGTAGATAAAAGTATAAACTACAATTAGAAAATGTAATCAAAAGATGTTTACTATTATAAAATTAATATAAAATATTATACAAATAATACAAAATATTATATAAATATTATTTATTTCTATATCTAGGAATTCCAAGTCCAGTAAAACTGAAGTTGAAGGTACCACTTGTGAAAAATGAAGATTGTATGCAACCATACAGTAGGTTAAATGTGAGGGTGAGTTTCTGATCAATTTGAAATTGTTTTTGTAATATAATATAAACTATTGAGGAGTTATAAAAATATATAATTTGTAATATACCACTTATGCAAGAGATTTACACACTATTATATTCATTGATCTAACCCTCTATGGATTGCGTAGGTAACAATTCAAAAATTTTGATATTCTAACAAATAATAATAGTTTTCTGTGAATTGACGCATAAATCTTAATTTTATAATTTTGCCAAGACCACCAAGATTAATATTTATTATCTTTGCTAGGCTTATCTGCCTCAAATAATATTTTCATACACATAAGTGCGGACATTATAGGGCGAAGTGACTTTAAAGTCACACTAAACCAAAAAAATGTATTAAAACGAATTATTTCGGCCTTTAGAGAGTTCAGTTCGTTTAGTTTGCTAGATCAAATACATATTTTTAAATGTTTCCGACATTATAGAACTGTTAAATACTATAACTACTCTCCCATTAAAGTTATAATGCTATTCATGCCAAACATTGCATACTATAATTGAATTTTAATATTTCTGACTTCCCGTAGGGTAAGTTATAGTAATCACAAAAAAAGAGAAAATGAAAATTTTTATATATCTTTACGTTTCAGAGTTGACAGTTCTGAACATTTTGGCATACTTAGAAAAAAATGAATGTATGTGTGTGTGTGTATGGGTGCATGTATGTACAAACCCCTGAAACGTGAAGATATACAAGAGAAATTATTTTCGATTTTTAGACGATTGGAATAACTTTCCCTATGAAAAATAATCGAAATATTAAAAAAATTATTATTCAAATAAATAATCTTTCAAAAGTTTCAAAATTCTTAAAAATCTCATTTTTTTCCAAGTTTTCCAAAAAATTTTAAAGGTTTTTTAGACATGTTAATTTTCGGTACGGGAAGTTTTAGCAATTTGCTTTAGGGCAGGATTCCATACACCACTAGTTTATTTATAATATTTATTATTACTAGGTTTGGTCCAGGCAACTTTGTGCAGGCGGCGAGTTGCATCGCGACTCCTGCAGCGGCGACAGCGGTGGACCCTTGATGGGCTACGACCGCTACGGCGATTCCTGGTACCTTCTAGGTATTGTATCTTTAGGACCAATAAATTGCGGAAAAGCTGGCATTCCTGGTATTTATACAAGAGTTCCACAATACCTCGAATGGATTAGAGGAAACATGGAACCATAAATTGTTACTTAGTGGATAAGTAAATTATATAAATATAGTAATATTTTTTATTAATAACAATACCTAATTTTAAGTACGTAATATTATACGTAGATTTAAACAGCCGATTCTGCCGTAAAAAATAGACGAATGTTATCGCAAAGCTATGTTATGTAGCATTTTTCATATAAAATTGTAATAAAAACTTTCAAGTCAAAATGTTATGTATATACAGTTCGATCAGTAGTTTTATACATAAATCTATTATAAATGCACATATCAAAGAACCTTCTTTTGAGAACTTATGTATGTATAGTATGCTTATGAGAACCTTCTTTTATGACGTTTGTGCGTTTTCTGGGTTAGGTTTTCTATATAAAACGCTTGACTGCACAGCAACTACATAGCATTTTGACAGTTTTTAGTACCATTTTATATGAAAAATGCTACGTAACATGGTCTTGCCATAACATCGGTCTATTTTATGACAGAATCAACCCCATTGTTTTTTTTTACCTTTTTCTTGAATGATGTTGGTTTGGTGGTATTTTTTAAGTAGAAAATACATGTCAAATAATTCGTTTTAAATTAGTTTCTTTTCTTTACGACTTTTGAAAATTCTCAAGTGATCTTGTTTTTTTATTAACCTATAAGAGTATATTGTAATATTGTTCACATAATATAGAAAGTCACTTTGTTATTTCAGATTGTGGTCATTTTGAGACCAGGAAAAATATGTGAGCTTGTGAATAGTATATGTTTTTGGGTACTATTTTTCTACTAGATAGATCATGTGACATGTCTTTTAACAGTAATATTCAGTTTAATGTTACAAGCAAATTTGTTGTAAATACTTTAAGTTTCTGGACGAAGTTAAGTTCGAACCGTAAGAGTGGAATGTTTTGATATTTTAAAATTATCAGAACAATTTTGAACATTGTCTAAAAATTTTCTAAATTTTTTTTTAGAATGAGTTGCTTCATAATATTTTACTTTCTTTTTTATTATATTACCTGTTAATAAGTAACTTTATAATTCAACCGTAAAGAACATATAGTTTCATTTATTTTCTGAAGAAATTCATCGCTAAATTAAACTCTTTATATAAAAAAATCAAGTAGTTGACCAAAGCTCTGCAATATATGGGCTGTAATAAATAATTTCCAACTGTAATTGGTACTGCTATTTATAGACCAATGTTGACATTGCCGAAAAATCGTTCGGAAAGCGAAAATGAAATTTATGATCTAGCACGTCGCGCCGTTGAAAATATGAAGCTTCAAAAGATTCTCAAAATTCACACACTGTGATAAAATTGGTGAATGTTTCGGATTATATTCTAAATGAAATCTGAATATTTAAATTGATTTTGATATGTTACTTAATATCAATATCATAAGTGTATTAAAAACACATTTCATACTTGAAGATATAAAATTCATCGCTATCATACATTCAATTTGAAATATAAATAATATGCATTACGATTTGATAGTGATGAATTTTTTTTTACCAACTTTAAATGGTAGCAATCTTTCTTATTATATATATGATATAAATTATAATTCACATATATTATTATTTTATTACAGGACATAATTTTTTTATAAGTACAAACTTATCCCACTAGACTGTGGACAAGGTATAGTAAAATAGTTATTTATTACATCTGTCAGTTAGGAGCTGAGTTTTTATTCATTAAACATAGTTACTTTTCTGATTCAATAGTTTCCAAGTTTTATTTTTATTATTTAAAAATATAGATAAGAAGTATTAGGTACAAATCAATTGATCAGTATAAATACCTTACTTTAAAAAATGGTTTCAAAAGGATAATTTTACTATTTTTCTGTGTTTCTAATTTAAGATTAATTATTTAAGTAAAAACAGTTTTGAAGTTGCAGAGTATGAAGAAAGTTTATGAAATTTATGTGGATTGCCGTTTCGAGTAGTTGGATAAATTCCAATTAAAGGCATACATAGCAACTTATGGAGAAAATTCGTACAGGAGAAATAGTCAAATTTTTTACTTTTTTTAGTGAATATAAGGAGCCCTAAAATTAGTAGTCTGTGAGATTAGTAAATAAACCTGAAGTTAGCAAATTACTACAACTGTAATATTGATATAAGTGAATTCTAAGTGTGACATCAAAACAAAGTGCTATTTGAACAGTTTTATTTCCGACGGTAGGATACCAAACAAGAATGAGGTATGTAAAATTTTAATTAATTCATTATTAAATGCGAACGTCATTTTAATTGATTTATGCTAATTGTCGTTTTATAGGTTTTGTTTTTTGTTGATGCTATAGTCATAATAATAATAATTAATGGTTATTTGCCTGAAAGCAGGCCCATAGCGTGATTGTACCACAATCAATGAATCCTTTTCCCACAATTACTTACCAAACTTCTGCTTCCATGCTTTTTTTTCCTGTGACTCAGCTTTCAGTTCTCTGTATTTTATCTTCTCTCCTAAGTCAACAAAAATCTGAAATCTTCTTCTTTCCAGTCTGTTCAGTCTTCCTATTTTACTTTTGACAAAGCCATGTAGAAGGCATCTATGGATCCAATTTAGTTTCCTTTCCTCTCAATGATCGTGCTCAGTAGAGTTCTTTCTTTGCTAATTTTTCTCAGCACTTCTTCGTTTATTATCTTATTTGTCCACTTTATCTTCTTCATTTGCTTTCAGAACCACAATTCAAAACTCTCCAGATAGTTTTTGTCAATCTTTCTCAGAGTCCAGGCTTCGGATACGTACAGAGCTATGCTCCAAGCATACACACTACTGTGGAATACTATGAAGATACAGATAAAAAACAATTAATTTTCAAATTGCAAATTGTATATGTTGTTAAATCTGCTTGACTTATTGAGTAGATCAACGCTTCTTCGAGAGCATCTTATTCAACACGACCATAGTCTTCAAATTTAAGACATGTTCAAAAGAACCAACGCCACCTGAAAAAATTCCAAATAAATTTGATTTATTTGTATTTTTGTTATATTGTTACAGATCACCATTTTTTGGTTTCAGAGCATGACAAACAAGACCAAGAGCGTCGGAATAAAATCAGAAATATTTTTAACAATGCGGTATGAAAGCTTCTAGATAAGGCATTCCTTTACCCCAGTTTGGGCTCCACTACAAATCATCGTAATTTAATCAGAATATAGTTTGAAAAAACTTGTAACATGTCCAAACATTTACCGCAATCACAAAATTTATTAACGACAGTTTGTTCCGTTCTGTACTTTTGTTAGAAAAGTTTGAAAATTACCTCTCTCATACGCCGTAACAAAATGCGAGTGTACACGGAAGCAAATAGAGTCGGGGCGCGTTGGCTAGTGATTTGTGAGGGTCGCCGTTGCGAAGGACATTAAAAAATATCGCATTAAAAACAAAACCAACTGGTACGAGTACAGGCACGTGTTGTATGTGAATAGAGGCTTAATTTACTATACCCGATATTATACGCGAATATTCACCGAGAGATTTTTTCCGAACAAAGTACGCAATTTGAACGCCGCCGTCGCCGCAACACATTGCTAGACGAAAAGTATTAACATTCCCGATTTAACGGCAACATTTTTTCCTAATTGCTGCGATATAAAATGTTATGGCGAATGTACAGAAAAAGAAATAATTCTCGAACAGAATCGCAGCTTTATTTTATAGCACAAGATACATGGTTATTTTACTAAATCTTTCTTGATTATTTTTACAAATGTAATAGTTGCACTACTTAAAGCACATGCCCTCAAAAAAAATTGTATCGATTGGGTATGCAATACATGTGTTTTGATGTATTTTTTACCACCTAACTTGGTTCTAAAATCAACATTGAAGGTCAACTGACAAAAAATTAAAAAAAACGACAAAATCTTCAATCTAGAAACTTTTCTGCATTATAATTAAAATCTTGTAATTTCTGTCGATTCCTGCTCCTTTAATTTTAAAATGACTTGTGCAGCAAATTTCTGTAACGATTTTTGTCATCTCTGTTGAGTATCTTTTTGCAACATTCATCAGTAATTTGCGAACATATCTTGCAAAATAATCGAAAATTATTTTTTTTATATATCCTTACATTTCAGTACCTGCTGAACATTTTGGCATACCTTAGAGAAAATAGATGTATGTATGTGTTTATGTATATAGCATGTATGTGTGTATGTTTGGATATAATTTTCCGTCGATGATTTCGATTTGAATGATTCAAAAAACATGGCATACCTTAGAGTATGTATATAGTGTGTGTGTGTATGTATATGGTATGTACATATGTATGTTTGGATCAACTGATTTAAATGATTCAGAAAACATGACTTACCTTAGAGAAAATAGATGGTATGTGTGTATGTATACATACTATATGTATGTGTGCATGTTTGGATACATTTTTCCTGGATGATTTCGAGAGCGCGGATTAACTGATTTGAATGATTCAAAAAACATTCAATTGTTATTGATGGGAAACCGCGCTTGATTGATATTTGATATAGGCCGAGTGGTTTCCAAAATACGGGGTAAAAAGTCATAAGAATGGCACTTTGAGAGAACGGAGCATCCGATTTGAATGATTCAAAAACATACCACTTGTATTGACATAATGAAGAATTTGTTAATTTTTTGGAAAGACAGGTCCAGCGGTATTGTAGATCCAAAAAAAGGTTTGAAAAATGCGGTCAAAAACTATCATTAGATATATGCATATCAAATTATCAGATATTTTATAGAGATTTTAATAATGAGTATAAATTTTGTTTACATTTTTATGGGTTCCGTATCAACATTCAAAATGTCAAGACAGCCATGCCGTGCTTTGTTTTTTTTTAAAAAAAAATATTCGAACAATTTTAAAGCACTTAAAAATTTTAAATTGCGGACGGAAAGTACCAGCAATTTGTCATTAAGGCACCATGCCATGCACCACTTTTTTGCCATTTGACTTCTAATTTTGACTTCAGATTTGTGTTCAGCGGTAAACACTACATAGAAAACATGTGTGGCACACCCAATCTAAACAGCTTTTTTTGTGGACCTGTGTTATCAAATTTTTTTGATGTTTCCAATCGGGTAATCCTATACCATATAATATTGTTTATATTATACA